CAGGTTATGCCCCAGGTGGTGGGAGGAGGCAAAAGATGGGGGAGCTTTGGATTTTTTAAAAATCTCTTTAATGACTCTACTGCTTTACATTCTATTCTCAGGCCTTATTTGTACTATACTGTGCCTTAACCCTGGAAGATCTAGGGGACAGGATCTATGTTCTTTCTTTAACCGTAAAGTCCCACACACCTTGCACATAAGACTTTTAAACGGAGACCGGACCAAAAAATTGCTAACTTTTAAAAATGTTTCTTGGTACCTTACTGATGAAATCCAGTGACAGTTCAAGTGAAGAAGGATCAAACCTTGAGGCAAGGAAACAATGATAGGCCTGAGCAGGGGAAAATAGCAAAATTTAGATGCTTAAGGCCTCTGCTACATGTTACGTATGTTACACAGTTAATGGGTTAATGGTGCAATAAATTTAATCAGCCACATCTGCAAAGTAATTATCACACTATAACAATGCCTATCCAGCTATAAAAAGAGCCAAACAGCTACAAATTTGGTGCTTGAAAATATATAACAGCTCTATAGTTGGTTTCTATCCAGCTTTAAGAATATGTGGCAGGACCCTAAGATAATAAGGCTAAAAAAGTACTTCAATCTGAAATAGTAATTCTGACCTGCTTAAAAGGCTATTCTCAATTCTTCTCTGCACAGTGGCTCGTTGAAAGTGTGCCACTGTGCAGAGAAGAATTAGACTCACTTGGCCAAGAGAGTAAGATAGCATTGCCTAGTAGTTTGGGCATTTATTAGCGAGGGGGAGGTGCAAGTTCTAGTGGTCCAAGGACTTTCTGTACTTTGTTTAATGACTAACTGCCCTGGGAGCAAGATCTGTGGCACTCTGGTCTGGTAAATCTTGCATTTCAAGGGAGCATCTCTGACTATTTTAAAAGAAGAATGAGCCCCCCTCAGTTCTTTGAAATGAAGCATGCAAGGACTTACATTTGGAAAAGGCTTCCGGGCTGAAGATCCCAAGTGCTAGAAGAGGTTTTACCACAGTAAGGTACCTCTGACTGACAGACTGACAGCATTTTAGATGTACCCTGTCCTCAGCATTTCATGTTGGCTACCTGTAAGCTGCCGCTCACTGGGATACTTGCACTATGTGCATTTGTTCAGTGTCTACCAAGTTCAGAAGTTATTCCAAGTTAGGGGATATTTATTAACTAATGAAGAGAATATAGGCATAGAGGAATCAGCCTAAACTTCCCCACACACCAAGCTTGTGTAGAAATTACTACAAAGACTCACCAGGAGATAGAGAAACAGCCAGAATTTATTCACTACAATGTGACAGCGCAGATGGTCAACATTTTGCATTTCCTTGAACCGTTCTCTCTCCTCTATCCTGCTAGCTTGATGGGGGTTTTTTTAGCATAGGCAAAAATTAGACGTTTAAATAATCTGATAAAACAATTTAAACAAAAGTTTGTAGATTTTACTATGACATACAAGCTTTAAAGTGTTACATTAAAAAAAAATCCAGTCAGGCCTCCTGGAAATATGCCAGCAATGTAACACTGCTTTCCTCTCTTGTACTGGTAATGGTGTCACTTGAGTCACCATTCCTGCATTTGTGGGTTAATTCATCACTGAACATTTCAGATGCTTAGTGTCTGCTGTGCTGATAATTAACACTCCTTGCCTTTCGAAAGCACTGAGTGGAGGTGTAACTGATCCCACTGACTCCAATGGGACTTTCCCATGGAAATCCCAGTCTTTGTCAAGTATATAAATTAAACAATTTCACCATATCCTTTATACAGCAAGAATAGACATGATGGAAAATAGCTGCTTTAATTCCTATACAAAAGCTTTCTCAGGTGAAGTGGCAAATGAGACTTCATAAAAAGTCACTTAGGTTCCCACTGGCTTTAGAGTCACAAATGGGAATATGTTCAGTAAGGACTCTTCAAGTGCTCTCAGTAAAATCAGTGTGGTTAGTTAAGGAGTAAGAAATACCTCTTACTCACTTTGAACAGTACCTAATATAATACACTCCAGATATGCTGCTTAGTGGACAGGATCATGCCTGGCACTGACATGCCCGCTGGCTAAATTACCTGTTGTAATCTAGATCACTGATTCTCAACCAGGTACTCTGAGGTGCCATAAGATCCTTTGAAGGCTGTTGCAAGGTGTGAGGGGATAAGCAATAAGATAATTGCAGGCTCAGCACTCCCCAACCTCTGCTGCCTAGTCCCTCTGCAAGGAGGCAAGCACTAACATTTAGTTTTGAAATAGGATGCCAGTCAGTTCACAGAAGTTGTGCTGTGGTGCCTTGAATCTAAAAACTTTGAGAACCACTGTTCTAGGCACCTTGTAACACACAATGAAACCATCTTGCAAACAAGAGAGAGAACCACCCTTGGAAAAATAGCTCAAGCCCATTATGCATTTCAATACCAACTCCCTTTGTTTTAAAACCGGGTTAATTTCCCAGTTTACAAAAATATACCCCTGATATTCTGATAACAAATATGGAGTTGCCATAAAGAACTGATTTGATCAGCATGAGAATTTTTAAACAAAAAACTTTACAAACACTAGTTTTGCTGTGTTAGTTAGTCACCCTTTGCACATTACGCATGCACTGACTTGTTTGCTGCTGTTATATTAAGGTAACGTTGTATGAAAGCATACATATGAATCTGAAATGAAGGGAGCAAGCAAACAGAAGCAGAAACAAAATAAAACAAAACACAGCATAAGGTTTACAAAAAGAATCACCGGGTTCTCGTGCAAACATCACAGCTTGTTTCTGACCAAATCTCTGTTATGAGACTATCCAAAGTTCATATACATTTAATTACTTACAGTAGCATGAAAGTAATTCAGTGACAGAAGGGAAGTGGCTGGTAAAGGGCTCACAGCTGATCACCTCCAATTGCTTGTTCTGAGTTCTGGGAACTCCATTCTGTATGCCATTCTGACTCTCAGTTCAGGCAAGTGCAAAATGTTCAGAGCCCACTGGCCCATTAGTACTTCCTTACGTTTTGCTATTTATAGGAGAAGGCTATATACAGTAGAACTTCCTAAAACCTTCCATTTGTACAAGGAACTGTCGTCACTTGCAACAAACCCTGTGCTGTGCTGCCAGTTCCATTGCACGCACTTCAAAGCAACTGCAGGGGGAGTGTTGAACCCGGGTCTGAGAAAGTCAACATGCAGGCTGTCTTTGCTGGGTGTTAGGTCTGTTCCCTGACTGAGCGCACACAGTGTTTATAGTAAGCATCAAGCAAAACTAAGCAAAGTAGCCTTTTGAGTCCCTCATCTTTCCTGAGAGTCTTAAATTGTCCTTCTAATTGTTGCTGGTTTTAGGCAGAGAGAGAAAAAGCATAGTAAGGATTAATGTGCTCCCTCCTGGCCTATTCTGGGAACATGCCCACTACATCATCCCACTTCCGCTACGGGCTATTCACAAGGTGTGAAAGCTTATCTGTCTTCTCTCTCCATCCCAATGTTATAAGCAGGACAGAGAAAGCGGAGACAAATGGAGGTACAAGAGGAGGGAACAAAGTTTCTGCTCCCCCACTGACAATTTCTCTGGAGACTCTCAAGCTCCTAAACTAGCCCTGTCTATACAGCAACAGTTCTGTAAACATTGTGGCTGTCTGCCAGACCCCAAGATAGCACCTGCTGCACCATTTGGTCAAGGAGAAAAGGAGCAGTTGGAATTATTAAAGGCTTGTCCTCATTGCTTTTACTTAACTCAGGAAGACTCTGAACCTGTGGCTATGGTGCCAATCTACTGGCATTAATCCCTATGTGGAAGTAATTATAAAAGTACAAAATTATAAAAGTACACTTGCAGCTGTGCACAAATTCACCATATATCTGCAAAGACATCTTTTACTGGTCTTGTTTCTCAACTCTGGATGAGAAATAATTTTGCATAGTTTGTTTGTTTTTTTAACATCTAGGTAAAAATACTTATTAGGGTACCCAGTGTATTTTTCTTTACCTGTAAAGTGTTGCTGTATTAACGACATATAAAGTTTATCTCATTTGCAGAAAAGCATACGCTATCTTCTGCCATATAGCACCCAGTTTCCTTGGCCACTTATCTGGATGTGTGTGTGAGGTATTAGTGTTCTTGATCATGCTAAAGCATCATCTTCAGTCTTCGAAGGTGGGTGTTAAAAATCTATTGTCATTCAGCATTTCATCTTGGCTTAGCATATTCTGAAAGAGAAAAAACAGGATGTGGATTACATAAGTATCCAGTTAAATGCACATAGCACTGGGAAAGGAACTGAAATAAAACCTGATTCACAACAGATGGAATTCGCTATATTATTACTATTATACACCCCATGGAATAATGCATAGAAACATTCAAAATTATGTGCAGAAACTCAAAATTATGCAAAATTAATTATAGTTATTTATTTTTACAAATTAAGTATAACACTATTTGAACCTACTTTAGAAATATATGCAGGTACTTTGTATGGTTGGGGGTGGGTGTGGGTGGGGGATTTGATGGTGTGGGGAGGTGTGCGTGCGTGTGGGGTTTGTGAATGGGTGTGGGGGTGTGAGTATTGGAGTATGTGGGGAGTTTGTGAAGGAGTGTGGGGGGTTGTGAAGAAGAGTTGGGGGGTATGGGTGTGTGTGGGGTTTGTGGGTGGGTGTGGGATTTGGGGGTTGTGAAGAGTGTGTGTGTGGGGGCTTATAGGTGGGTGTGCCCCCCCAACATCTCTCCTCATGGTGCACAGCTCCCACTGCCAGCAGCTCAGGGGCAGTAGGCCCTCAGGGTGCCCATGGCCACAGCAGGTAAAGCTGCTGGCAGCGCATGCCTCTGGCTGAGTCTCAGGGCCTGCACTTGTATGCGCCTGACCCACTGGCATGCGCCTTCGACTAGACCAGGCTGGCTCTGTGCCAGTGTGTGGGGCTCATGATATTGCAGGTGGGAGCTGCCTGCCATTGGGCTAGGCAGGCTCCATGACTCCATGGGCAGCTTCCTACTGGGGTGCTGGAAGCCCTATCTGGAGGCATGGAGCTGGCTGGCATGGCCCAATGACATATGGACCAGGAACTGTGCGCCATTGGTCTGGGCAGACTCCATGTCTCCACATGGGGCTTCCAACACTCCAGTGGGAAGCTGCACGTGGAGGCAAGCAGGAGCCCACCCGCCCTGCTGGCATGCGACTCCATGCCTCCATGTACAGCTTCCCACCTGGCCTGATGGTGTGCTGCTCCCAATCCACATGCCATTGGACCAGGCCAGCTCTCTACGTTGGGTTTCCAACACTCCAGTGGGAAGTTGCAGATGGAGGCATGGAGTCATGTGCCATCAGGCCAGGCAGGCTCTTGCTTGCCTCTGTACGTAGCTTCCCACTGGAGTGCTGGAAGCCTCACGTGGAGGCACTGAGCTGGCTGGCCAGCCCGGCCCAATAACATGTGGCTTATACCCACCCACAAATGCCACACCCACCCACACACCTCACACCCATCCCACTCCTCCTGCAGGCAGGAGCTCCCTTCCCCACTTATCCAGCTGTACAGTCAAATGGCTTTGTGCCTCCACTTCATAGAGGTGGAGGCACAGAGCCCCCCTGCAGTTAAATTATGTAAAATTATGCAATTTTGCACAGTCATACCTTTAATGTGCAAAATTACACGGGCGTATAATTGCATCATTCCCCAGGGTGTACTATCAGTCATTGAAATAATTTGCTAATATTAACAGAATGAAACTAGTTTCTTCATTGTAGTTTAATGTAGCAGGATGATTAGTATTAGGAACTTCTTACATTTAGGTGATACTGGGTGCATCTACACAAGTGCCTTACTGTGGGGGCTGACTAATTAGTTCTGCAGTAAAGTGTTACTGCCTACACATGTGGCACTATTAGACTACAGTAAACGAATTAACCCCATTGGAGGGTAGTACTGCCTGACAAGTACAATCCTACAGCAGAGCTTAGTGCACTGAAACATATGTGTAGATGGTGCCTGGGGACTGCTGGGGTATGAAGGTGCTACAATGCAGGGGCTGCCTGCTGGGCTAGTTCTGCACTGTAGAACCCTTGTACCCCAGCCAGCCCTTCTGCAGCACATTGAGCCAGGGCACTGCAGTTCTGAACTGGCAGGCTTACCTCCCAGGAGCAATAAACTCCAGCATGAACTGTGCTGGAGTTTATTCAGGCACATTAATAGAACATGTAGATGTGCCTGCCACTATGCAGAGGAAGCTTACATATTACATGATCATTCATTCTGCCCTCCAGCAAGTTTGTCTTCTAAAATTAGTTTACAAACACAGGCATCAATGGCATAGTTAATTTTAATACAGTGCATCATCCATATTTTGGGTGCAGGAATCTGTCCAGTGAAAGTAAGGGCTTCTTAAGGGAGATGGGACAGCCATTGCTTGCAAGATTGTTAAATTGAAAAACTGCAACTTCGGAACCTGTTTTTGTTAAGTACAGGTACCAGTTTGTCACATATTATACATAGGATGTGTTAATTGTGTTTAAAACCATGAGCATTTGTGCATTCAAGCAGGAAAACACATGCTAAGTGCTGTCATATGGTAGTAAAGTTATGACTTTTTGGGTAGGAATATCTCCATTTAGCGTTAAGTAATATGTGCTAGGCTGCTGTGGGACTGTGCCATGAAGATAATACCAGTGGTCCTCACTGGTTCTAGTATGGTGTCAGGGCTGGGAATGACAGACACATGGTTGTCGGTTCCAGCCCTTCCATCACACCAGAGCCTTGAACCAACTCTGGAGCTAGGAGGGGATGAGGTGAGGGAGGAGTTAGGACTGACAAACAGCTGATTGACCACACAGCTGTCTCCAGCTCTGTCCAGAGAGTTGAGATCGTGTAACTGCTCAGAAAACTTCCTAACTCATAGTAAAGCTTACTATGATCTAAATAAAATATGTTTTAAGTGTAACATGTGACACAGCCCTGGGTAGAGGGTGAGGAGAAGCCACGGATCCAACACATGAATTAGACCCTATTTGAAATCTGAGATTATGGATAAAGGATTAAAAATGGTTTTAAAAATAAGAAAATGTTAAATTCTGGATCTATAACCAAGCTGCAGATAAGTAAAACCAGGACACTTCCAGACTCTTACCCTTGAAAATCACCTGGAATTAGGGGTGTACCGATAAAGGTTTTTGGGCTGATACGGATGGTCAATTATTAATGAGCCATATTGGCTGATACTGACCCAATTGCCCATATCCAGCCTAGCAGTTTGGAGAGCAGCGTCCAGCTGGTAAGTCTGTTGGTGGGGGAAGGGGCAGGGGGAGGGTTGGAGGTGGGGGTGGCAGATTGAGGCCCCTGTGGTGAGGGAGTGGGGCTAGGTGCCAGATGGAGCCATGAGTGGCTCATCAGCAGGGCACAACTCCCACTGCTGCACACACCCCTGGGGGAACCATGGGGGGCACGTGCCCCCCAGATCTGTGCACAGGGGGAGGATGGGCTGCCACTGTGGACTGGGGCCAGGGGCGGCACCAGGCTCTTCCCAGTGGGAGGGCTGGGCCTGGGTTGTACTCGGGCCAGGAAGTGGTGGCACTGGGAGGGGTTGCTACAGGGTGGTAACCCCCCCTACCACAGCGCTGCCACCACCTGGCCCAAGCGCAGCCCCAGCCCAACCCCCTTGCCGGGAAGAGCCTCCCCGGCCACCCCAGATGAGCCACTCAAGGCTCTGTCCATGCCCAGCCCCAACCCCAGCCCCACTCCCTCCATCACAGGGGCCTCAATCTGTCCCCCCCACCCCCTTCCCTCCCTCCCACCCCTTCCTGTCCAACACTCTTACCAGCTGGATGCTGCTCTCCAAGCTGCTGGGCTGTCTGCATGCATTCTGCGACATTATTGGCGACATCATCAACCACATCAGCCAAAAAAAGCCGATTGCCAATAATGTCAATTTTCCTTTTATCAGTGCTGATACAATATGGACTGATATATTGGGTTACCTCTACCTGGAATGACTAAATTTTCCCGAATTTTGGCAAGATATATTTGTGACTTTTAAAGCAAGTGCAAGTTGATACATACCGTGAGATTGTTTATGCCTTGAGAAAGAGCCCCTATTTGCATTACCGTTCCTTCCGAATGTTCCATCTGTAAAAGCATTCAGCAACTTGATCAAATAAGACAATGGCTACTATTTTATTCAGACTCTATATGCATCTTTGGGAGGTGTCCCTGACTTGAGAAAAAGAAAATCTTGGCATAATAAATTGCTACTCTGAATATTATAAAAATTAACAAAAATATACAAAAAGTCACAAATCCAAAAAGGGAAAAAAATCACCATGCCAACATGCCTTATAATACTGTGAAAATGTAGTAACAACAGGAAGACAGATTTCTAATCAAGAGAAAAGGTGTTCTTGATCAGCTGGTAAATATATTCCATGGAGTTAGCACTATATTTCATGTGAACCTATTGATATATTCCTAAATTAGGCACTCATTACAGTCATATTCACAACATTCAGAAACATTTCAAGATGTATTTAATAACTTGTGTGGTGCATTCCTACTAGACAGGCAATACAAGAACCCAACATGCTGTCTTGCTGATTCTAATAAAAGGATATCAATCTTCATGATGTCAGATGGCCTACAGTGTCAAGGGGTTCATTTGTTGTTCATTAAAAGCACTAAATCTTCACTAGACAAGCATGTCCATGTACTTTCTTAGCTATGTACTCTCCAAGTCATTTGTTTAACTGAAGGTGGAGTTTCATCAAGCTTTAATGGTAGATATATTTGGTTCAATTTCTACAATTGTATTGAGTAACTAAAATGGGGGTCATAAGTATTGGTAAATGCAGTCACTTGCTACTGTTTTCTAGGTAATTGGACATTTATTATCCCTTCAGTCACTAAAAAGGATCAAACTACGTTTAGATTAACTCTATTAGGTTTTGATCCGCTGTCTTTTCCCTTGTATGCTTAATATTTTATTCTGAAAACACTCAAACTAACGTAAGAGATCCCAAATGAGAACCATATTGCCTTTACAAAAAGCATTCGTTTCACCTGCCTCCTCTAAACAGTGTAGTGCAAAACATCCCTTAAATAATAAAAAAAAAGATTAAGTAAGCCACTACATTTCAGATGAGCAAAAATGAGATGTTAGATGTGGTAAAATCATGCAGGTGAAAAATGGTTGCAGTTAGTTTTTTCAATTTTGTGATCATTAACTGCTTTCTGCTCCAGAGAGAAAAGTGCTTCCAAGTCAGATCTTCAGCTGGTGTAAAATGTCACTGATCCACTACAATAGATGGAGTTATGACAATTTATACTAGGCAAAGGTCTGCCCCGGTTGGCTTTTGTGCTCTGCAGAATCTATACAAGTACCCAGTAGCTCCTTTTTGAAGGTTTTCATCACTTTGTACAGACTTTCGCAGTGAAGAAGTCAAAGAGTTTTCATGGTTTCAGCCTTTGACTGTTTAGAGGTATGGCATATAAACTCAATTCCATTACCAAAAGAAAGGGATCACTACATACATAGCAAAATAGACTTATTCAAGTATTATTTTATTATTTCAATGATAATAGTGTTCATTAGTGGTGCATCTTTTACATATACTGCTTAAGCATAATTAATTCATACATGTATGTATGCATGAAGAGTGAAACTGCTGCTCTCTTCTACTAACAAGTCTATTAAAAATATACAGTCCAGTTTTTGAGAACAAAGTCTCCTGATAGCTCTGTACAAAGTAGTCTGAATAAATTTATTACATCATAAACCACTTACAAAGATAAAAAGGAGTTACCTGTGCAGTATTTTATCGATTATGAAAATTAAAAATAAAAACACCAAATGTTTTTACCATGACCCTCAACTGTACAGTCAAAATACATTGATCTTCAAAGTGTAAAGGTTTTATGTTTCTGAAAAAAGGATTTACAGATGGATGGGTAGGTTTACACTTAGAAAGATAATGTGACATTTTCAGTATAAAACTCTTCAAAATGTCCATAGCCCATATGTTCTCAATGAGGTCATGCGGATGCAGCACATATTTTGTTATATGGTAACAATGTTATTTGCAAGCTTTGGAATGCATGAGGAGAATGAGGGATGAGTATGACATCACTCTGTTTGTCCCACCTGATCCAGTTTGTCCAATTCCTTATCAGAGGAAAGTGGACTAAGTCCTTTGTATCCACCATAGCTCTTCTGAGTACCATTAGTTGCACCTGGACTTGTATCCATAGGACAAATGTAATCTGTAGATTCATCAAATTTCTTTTTTCTTAGGTTTCCAAAATGTGAAAATCCAAGTTTCTTTGGCTAAAATTATGAGAAAACAAAGGGTATGTGAGAAAAACGAACTGTCTTTTCAGATGTGAAGTCTAGTTGGAAGTTGCATTTATTGATTCCAAAGCTACTTTGTGCAATTTCTATAATACTCTAGATGCTTTTAACTTAATTTCTATTGTCTAGTAAAATAGGCTTTGATTTAGCAAGGAACTTAACTGAAAGCATGACATTAAGTACATGAACAGTCCTACTGAAGTCAGTTGTACTAATTGCAGAACTTTTGGCATGAGTAATACAACTGAGAACAGTAACAGTACTTAAATGCCTTACTGAATATCACATCCATACATTGTGGGTTTCAGTACTTTTTCTAAATAAGAATGATATTAAGCATACGCTTCAGTGCCTTCCTGAACGAAGGGTATTAATACTAAGTATAGCACATAAATGAGTTGCTCAGCCGAAAAAAATGAATTAGTTATATGAGTAAAGTTACTCATGATTAAGTGTTTATAGGCTTAATTTATAAATTCAGTTTATCATGTTTCAAACAGTTATCCCCAAATCTTATTAATGTGTGTGCCGGTGTATAGATCTTAACACTATACTAAATCATTAAGAAGAATACAGATTTGGCACCATTTTCCTTACTAAGAATTGCTATGTATACTTCACACACACTGCTGTAGCTCAACAGGAAAGGTCTTGGTCTATGTATTGTCAAGATTATTCAGTCCAGAAGCACATACCATATTTTCTTCCATATCACTATCCTTCCCATAAGATATTCACCCATTCTGAGAAGAAAGTGCTGGAAAGTTTTTTTTCCAGTCGTAGCTGAATACAGGCCTCATGGAGTAGGGACAGAATCTACTCCGTCATTCACTCTCTTTTTGCAGTTAAAGAACCCTTTCTTACAGCTAGTGCCAAACTGGCAGCAGCTTTTGGCTGCTTGCTTTAACCCTCTTACAGCCAAAAGTGGCTGCCAATTCAACTGTCTGTGAAAGGGTTAAAACTTTAGCTGTGAAAAGAGAATGAGTGACAATGAAGAGTCTACTCTACCCCTCCTGCATGCCCAGCACAGAGCCAGCCCCTGGCAGCTATTACAATGTCCCCATGCCTCCATTCTGGCATGGAAACCATGCGCCCATTTTTGGAAGGCTAATATTCAGAAAAAGGTGCACGTAGTTTGCGAGTAAATAGAATAGATTTTTTTTAACTTGGTTAAATCTCTGTTAAATTAGGAACAGATGATACTAAATATAAATATTGTTTTAGATAGTTTTAAGGAATGGCTGTGGTGACGCACATTTATTTCTTCGGTACACGAAGACGGACTTGTGCTGAATATATAAAATTGGGAATAACTAAAATGTAACTGAACTCATAACTGACTTCTCCCACCTCCCAAGTTTGGCCCCCTATTCTATTACAAAAAAAAAAAAGCAAACTGATAACTAGATCAGCAGTTCAAGAATTCCTCTCTTCAGAAAGGAGCATACCCGAACTTTTGCAGTTGTAGTGAGAGGCGTGTAAGCAGTGGCTTCCATTATTTCCCTTTTTTCTTGTTGTGCCTCTGGCCCAATCAGCACATTAAAGTTAGTGGTTAAGTGGCGTCTCAGAAGGGTCTTTTGAGGTGGAATGTTAAGCAGCATTGCCAATGTGTCGCCACTGAAGCGAGGTTCAAGAATCTATTAAGCAAAAAAACCCAATAAAATGTTGTTTGTTATATGGCTGAGTCTTTGTAGTGTCAAACAGCTTTAAAAAAAAAAAGACCATCCTACAATGCTGAGTAATTAAGAACATACTGATGATTCTAATACCAAAAGTCCTAAAACAACATCAAGGGAAACCATTGCGGTCAAAGCTTCCTGACTTTACTAAATTGCTTTTAATTTCTTATCTCCTAAGTCCAAACAAGTTCCCTTTCCTGATTGCTGGTGAAAGTGCCTCAGCAACGCAGTATGTGTACTATTCTTTATTTGTAACAGACTTCTGGCTCAGAAGTTGAGTTTGATCTGTTTGATGTACTCTGGTGATTGTTTATCAATAAGTAATTGCTACTAAGTAATTTCTTTCTGAAATATTCTGGATAAGTACTAAAATACTCAGAGGCACCATCCTGCTTGTAAAATTAATTTGCGTGTAGCAGATTCAGAATGTTTCGAGATGGTTCAACACTGAGCAAACTAAATCAGACTATAAGTATGCAAGTACATATCTCCTTCCTGTTTCATGTTTGAAAATTAAGCAAAATTTTTGGTAAGGTTACTTTGAGAAAAAAAAAAGTTAGTATATTCATTAAAAATGGGGAAAAAAAGAAAACAGTTCTCACAATGAGACCACCGTGAACCCCACTCCCCCGAAGATTTGGCGCATATTCTGCCAGATCTACTGATCTGAGCCATTCCATCACTCTGTGATTGGACCACTGAACTACTTCTGAAGGTGAAATGTTCTGTTAAAGAAAAACAAAAAAGATGATGTGACAATATAATTATGTGGCAAAGTACTTCTTGATGAATAGTAATATATGCACCTAGATCCAATTCAGATAAGCAAATTGGTAAATGGTTGAAAAAGATTTAAGCACAGCAAATGGATTTATCACTCATGCCTGATTAGTTATCAGTTATTATTAAGGCATTCCTTCTCTTCCCCCCCAAATCAGCATCCCCCAGTTTTAAGGTACTTGTCTTACTCAATTTTTCATACTTCCCACAGAAGAGAGGTAGACTCTTAACTGACTAGTGAGATGGTAAGTTAATTCTGTTAGTGATGGAACCCATACTAACTTCTCTATCAAATAAAGCAAGACACCAAAAATACTATGCAATAAAAGAATGCTTGCCTTGCAAAACATATATTAGAATGTTTTATATTTCTGAGGAGCCTAATACTGTATTATCAAGGCACCCAGCACAAAGGTTTCAAATACAATGCTACCCAGAATAAGGAGAAATAAATATTGACTGCTGGAAATGCTGCTTAAGGTGATCAAGGAATCAGAGAAACTAAGACAGCTAAGGGAATAACCGTGAAGTATTCGAAATAACCTATTCAAACAACTTATAAAATTCTGATATACACATGAATGATCTGCTCACTTTGATAAAAGTTATGGGAGAATGATGAAAAATGGTTAAATAATTTCTAAGCAAGATTCGCTGAACAGTCTCTGAATACTCAACGATTGTTCAACCAGCTCTAGAATTCACGGGTAGCCTGAAACCTGAAAGCTTGCAAAGAAGTTTTCCAACTATTTGAGTTGGTCTAATAGAAGATCAGACTTAGCCAAAGAACCTTGTCTGCAGATGGAATATATCCATTGCTGTTGCTTTCTATTCCACTGACAGTATAAAACTCATCCCGATGAGCATATTTGGTAATATGCTAAGGTGTGGGTCATATACCTTGCACTTTTAAAAATTATTCCATAGTATAAAATCTCACTGCACGGTAGTTTTTCTATAAATTCAGTTTAAGCCATCTTTTTCTTAATTACATCTCATTTCATCCAGTTATACACCAGGTACCTACAGAAGATACTAGCTTCCCTTCCACTTAGGAACATAGAAGACAACGTACTCCTGTGCATTTAGGTTTGGTGCAATGAAAGGAGGTCTGCATTATCTTACACTGTTTGCCTCCTAGGGTTGTGGCATTTCCTTTGAGGAGATTCCAGAGTCAGCTCCTGGCAGCCACAGCTTGTACATTGTACACTATATTAATTTCCCTTCACACTGACCCTTGACTGACGTGGGATAAACAAGCGCTGGTGGTAACACTAGACTTGAGAAACAATTTCTTTTTTACCTCATTGACTGGCCTCCTACGTAGGCAGTGGGGATTGAAATTGTTGACATGCAGCACATGAATGGCACATTTAATACTGAGATGATGCAGCTGGCTGGTGACTTTCAGAAAGAGAAGGTCATTCTGAGAAGAAAAAGCTTAATTAGGAGCATAACATACCAAAAAAACCCAAAAAAACTTCCTGGGAGATTAGAGTCGAGTTCTAAGCTTGCTATGCCATTTGTGTAATTGTGTATATCAATAAAGGATGTTTTAGGTGAATTAAAGATGCACACTCCCCTTGGCCTATGGACATATGAATGAAACAAGCCAGAGGAAATCACAACATGGCTGTACTTTGGAAGGCAGGCACTTGAAAGAGGGGCACATTTGATTCATCCCATGGTAAATCTGCTGCAGCTCACATGAGGCTAAACCTGTTAATGAGTTACCCCACATGTTCACAAGTTCCTTGAACTGAAATAGCTCTAGTAGCCACATGTTAACGGGTACGTGTGTCCATGGCTATAGAAAAAACAGTCACCATGTAACACAAAGCAAAAAATAACCTAAAAAGCTAAGATAAAATCTGACCAGCCTGTTGGTCTAGTAAGCATAAGATACTTAACAATGGCCCTGCGATGGCTCTAAGCTTGGGGCATTTCTTAGCACAGGTTCTGCCCACACTGAGATGACAACGGTTGACTACAGCTATGTTAGAACTGTATGATGGCTACCAGGAAAGTGGACTCCCTGATAAATGTACACAGGCTATTTCTAGTATGTCTGTGATGGACCCTAATCAGCAGGGATCCTGGGTTTTTTTGTATAAAAATTCCAAATTCTCTTATAAAAAATCCCCAACTCTGATAACTGCCCCCAACAATTCCATGTTTTTCTGTGATTAAAATGAAGTGCCATTATATATATATATAGATATCGGTTGAACACAATATTTTATTAATATCTTTACAATTTTAAAGTAATTTGGAAGCCTACCAGTGCCTCAATCATTATAATAAAATAAATTCTAAATACCGAAATATATCTAAATATATATTTTGGCGTTTGATTTTTTTTTCACGGAAAGACAGAGCTCCCCCTGCTCCCTTCACTCACCAGGATACAGGTCTACCTGTGGCTACCCGCCCCCTGCTTTGTGATGCTGAGCAGCCCTGATATGCTGGTGCCCTGCCCATGCCATTGCCCCTTACTCCCAAGCCACAGCTCTCTGGCTTTGCCTGTGCCCCTCACACCCACCCTGTAGGGCCCCCTAGGCTGTGCCAGTGTGCCTCACTCCCAACACACAGTCCCCTGGCCCTGCCAGTACACTTCACTCCTGACCCACAGTTCCCTGGCTCTGTCAGTGCCCCTCACTGCCAAACCACAGCCGACTGGCCCAGACAATGCCCCTCACTGCTGCCCCACAGCCCCCTGGTCCTGCCAATACCCCACACTCCTGGCCCACAGCCCCCTAGTCCTGCCCCCCCAGCATCTCCCCTCAGCCCTGCTGGTGCCTCTTACTCCTGACCTGCTGCCCCCTGGCTGGTGCCCCTTATTCTCAGCCCACAGCCCTGCCAGTGCCCCTCATTCCCAACTCGCTGCCCCCCCCCCAGCCCAGCTGCTGCCCCTTGCTTTCAATCCACTACCCCTGCACCCTCTGCCCCCAGTCAGAAGGTGGGTGTGTGGGGGAAGAGGGGTGTTGGCTCAGGTGACATGTTGGGAGTACATGCCCCCTAGATCTCTATGCCCAGTGGAGCATAGGGCATGGGGCTGGAGCCAGGGTAGACCAGCTCTGGGCAGGAGCCACCCCCACAGTGCAGTGGGTGGGGCTCAGTGCAGGAGGGAGTGCTGCACCGCCGTGGCTGCCTGGGTGAGGTGCAGCAGCATGGAGTTGTGCCTCCTGCTGCTGCCTGGCAGCCAGGGAATGCCTCACCTTGGCAGTCATGGTGGCATTGGGTTCCTTCCCATGCCAGGTCCCATCCACTTGACCATGGAGGTGGCTCCTCCAGGAGCTGGTCAGGCCTGGCTGCAGTTCCATGCCCCACTGTGGGCACAGAAATCCGGAGGGGAGGGCTGTACCTCTCCCCCCACGCCAACACGGCTGTGTTGCCTGTGCCCCCACCCCATCCCCATAGACTTACCAAGAGGGAGCTGTAGGAGCTGCTCTCCACCACCTTGCCTGGCTGCCATGTGCATGTGTGCACTCTGCATCCCTTCCCCACAGCCCCAAGCAGCCCCTTGCAGGCTGGAACTCTTCTAGTCTGCAAGGGGAAACCTGTGGTTTCCCACACTTTTCTCCTTCAAAGGAGAACATCCATGCTTTTCTGCAGCAAATGCTAAATTGCTACAAAATACATTCATAGCTGTTACAAAACAAAAATTACATGAATGAATGATGCTAAGAGTTCTAGCATATAGCAGCAACAAATATTTAAACATTGCTGTAGCTTGTACAGCTGTGATACTAGCTTGGAAAAGGTCTAACTGGGCGCATCTACATGAGATGTTTACTGAAGAGTTGACTACTTAGCTATGCAGTAAACATCTCAGCATTTATACATATACCCTTATTAGGGCTCAGGAAACTAATAAAACTCTGCAGCAGGCTAGTACTTGTTTTTTCATGCGCAGCAGCACATGTGTAGATGCTGATGCAGCTGGATGGGCTATGAGGGTGCCTGAATACAGGGGTTACCTGCCAGCTAGCCCTGCACTGAAGCACCCTTGTGCCCCAACCAGCCCCTCTGTAGCACATTAAGCCCAGTCGGAGCAGCCCTAGACTGGCAGTCTGACCCCCGCCAGGTCCCCTGCCAGCTGTGGCTCCTCTGACCTGGCTCAATGTGATGCGTTCCAGGTGTACATGTAAACTGCATGCCCAGGAGCTTCCCAGGAACAATAAATTCCAGACTTATTGCTGGACGTTAATGGCACATATAGATGCACCCACCACGTACCATATGCAGTGATGGTCTCTACTTGCTAAACATTGTTACCCTTGAATAGAAAAAAATCCTGGCTCAATTTATCCCTAATTTCACTGTGTTGGTCTGGAATGAGTAGACATCCATCCTACAGAAACCAACTCTAGTCACGTAATCTCCTTTAGCCTATTCCTTGGGCAGAGATGACTGTGTTTATACTATGTATTATATTTTTTCTTGCAAAGATCTTTACTTCTACCATTTTAAATAAGCCCAAGATGAACACGAAAATTGCTGAAGAGTTATTCAAATTCTTTCTGCAGATGTTCCAGGTCCACATCTCTCAATGTGAGCAAATTCAAGGGTTCAGAGTCTGTCCAAATGGAGGAAAGGGATTTTATGGCAAGCCATCTTACCACAGTTAAGTACTGAAGCATTCTCCCATCCACTCTGGATTCATGAAACTGATCTTTGTACTGAGGTAAGCCAATATCATCAAGCCATCCTGCAGATATAAAAATAGCAAAGAAAACAAATCCACCTTTAGGAAATCTCTTCAGTCCTATACATGACCTTAAAGACCAACCTTTCATCTCTGTACATATACACAGGAGTCCCCCAGTACCTCCAAAAGCCTCATACAATCTTATCTATTCTTTTTCACATCCCTTTCAGACATCTTTCTTTCTGAAGGCAGCTCCCACCAGGCCCTATAAGTGATTCCAGAAATGCTTTAGAACAGTGTTGCTCAACCTTCTGGCCCTGCAGGCCAGATGAATGGTGCAGAGTCGGTCTGCAGTCCAGCTTCTACGTGAGGTTGGTCTATAGATGCAACCCCTGGGGGCCAAACCCAGCTGCACTCCAGGCCAATCCAACCCAACCTCATGTGCCAGCCTGGCCTGACCTGACCCCATCCTGCACACTTGGATCCAGTCATGTACTGGAGTGATCTAGCATACAAGGCCACATTATCTGACCTCTGGGGCTCCTCACTGGTCTGGAAATCTGGCAACGGGAGCAACAATTAACAGTGCCACTAAACCCCCACTGCCAAATATCTGGACCCACAGGGAACTGTCCAGGGCTGGATGACATAGCTCCATGGGCCAGATCTGGCTCACAGGCCAGGGATTGAGCACCTCTGCTTTAGAAGGTAGCATGTGCTGGACATGTGGCTTCTACAGCACAGTCTATTTCTAGAGGAATGAATAAACAAGTGAATTTTGAATAGAAAATTTGTATTTGTTTAAAAAAGTAAAAGTTTTACAAAATAAACATGAAAATGTATGCCTACACTGAACATGGCAGTTAAGCACAGGGATACCCACCCTTGCTCAAGTAAGAGAAGCACTCCAGCCACAGCTGGATGGACTACAGCGTAGGCTAAATAAAACTGCCAAGAAGGGTAAATTAGACCATGCTGATCATGGCTAAACTACTTCTGGTATCTGACCTACTTGGTTTAAAGATAGTTTGAGCATCCCACACTCTGCAACAGCCTGTGCTATGGGCACAGTTAAAATAACCTGCTAAGTATATCTTCCAACTGACAACTTTGTACAGCAGGGGTGGGCAAAATGGTGGAGCTGGCCAGCAGCAAACTCCATTTTCCAGCAACCCCTTCCCACATGGCTGGGGCCAGTCTCCATGGAGATCCCAGCCACAGCTGCACTGTGATAGCGCAAGGCTGGGGTTGCCATGGAGACCAACCCTAGCCACACTGGCAGGGCAGTGCAGGGGAGTCCTGGGATCTTGTGGTGGGGACAGTTTGGTCTGGGATCTGCAGCCTGCATGCGTGGGGCAAGGAGACGCAGGCAGCGGATTGTAACTCTGCCCCAGCTCAGGACCACTCTGTCACTGCTGCAAGAAGCCAGGGCAGAGCTGTGATTTGCAGCGTACGTGCTCCAGACAGGGATGTGCAGGCAGTGGATCATGGCTATGCCCTAGCTCCTTGCAACAGTGATAGCGTGGTCCTCAGTCAGGGCACAGCCGCGATCCGCTGCTTGCACGCCCCTGCCCTGAACATGCAGGTTGCAGATCACGGGAAGGGGTTGCTGGGACCACGCTGCCCCTGCTGCAAAATCCCAGGGCTCCGGAGCAGCCCTCTGCCCTGCCCTGAGCCTTGCTAGCACAGCTGGGGCCGGTTTCCATGGCAACCTTAGTCTTGCCTATCACAGTGCTGCTGTGGCTGGGGTCTCCATGGAGACTGGCCCCAGCCATGCAGGCAGGGGCTGCTGGGAAATGGAGTCCACTGCAGGGCAGATTTGGCTCACGGGCCGGACTTTGCCTACCCCTGCTGTCCAGCATACTTGGTAAGCAAACAATCCTGTCACAGCTGACTGCAACACATATGTGTGAGAATCCCTCATTCACTAGGTTAGAGAAAATACTTGGAACATTTTAATTACTATGCAACTGGCATAGAAAATTCAACCCCCATTTCTACCAGCACTTACGTGTCACCCAAATATGATCCAGCTGAGCAGACTTATCATCTTGTTTTGAATTTATTGATTTTATGGCCAAAACTAATTTCTTCCTGTGCAGAGGATGCTTTATTCCTAGTTCCTGTAACAACAACAGTAATAAGTAATTTGTCTTGTATACGGTAATTTCCATCTCAGTACCAATACAGAGAAACACTGATTTTAAGTTTTACTACAAGAGACTAAACACCATTTTGCATTAGCTATTGTATTTTGAGCTGGATTTTGAAGGTGAGCAATGGTACAAAATTAACCGTTCACACCTGACTGACAGAAGCAAGTCTAGATTGCTTACCTTTTCCATGTCCTGAGGTGTTGCCGTTAAAAGTGTGTGGCCAGAGCTCACCCACTGCCGGGCAAAAATAACATATTGACCAAGACCAAAGTCCTCAAGCCAGTTGCAAACCCTTTCAGTACTCCATTGGGCAAAGGGTGCATTGGTGTCACTGAAAAGCACAAGTTTACTATGAAAAATCAGGCTACTGTGAAAAGTCTACTGTGAAAGAAATCTTTAGCTTGATATGTAATAGGGATGGTGTTGTAGTTGTTAAGGTCCAGGGATATGAGAGAGATTTAAAAATCACTGACTTACTGGTAACATTGATTTTATGGCCTGTTATAACTTACCTCTCACCCATCACTGTTAATTTTTCTTTATATCACAAGTGATCGGATATCAGAATATCTTGGTGCAGAGTAACTCGCTTCCCTTTCAAATGGTCAAATCCATTAATATATTTGGGTTAAAATAAAGCAGTTTTTCCAACCTACACGTATCATGGAATGTGACTATTACTTTCTCAGACCTGATGATGGGCAACTGAAACCTGGAAGCTTGTCTCCAAGTTTTCTGAACTTAAGTAGTCGTCTACTAAAATATATTCCCTCAATTTACAAATCTCATTTCATCGGCTAGGAGTGGCTTTCACCAACTCCCTCTGATGAGAAGTCTGTGATCCTTTCTTTCAGACTTGGATCTGGCCACCATCATTCACGACTTGACAGTAGATCACTGCAATGTGCTCTACATGGGGCTGCCCTTGAAGACAGTCCAGAACCTGCAGCTGGTGCAGAACGAGTTGGCCCACCTTTCGATGGGAGTGGGTAATCAGGAGCACATAAATCCAGTGCTCCAGCATCTTTACTGGCCCCCAATAGCATTTTTAGCGCAATTCAAGGTGCTGGTTTTGACTTATAAGGTCCTAAATGACTCGGACCCGACGTACCTAATGGACATGTCTCCTTCATGTTCCATAGTGAACCGTAAGGTCAGCCAAAAACAACCTCCTTAAGCAATGTGCCAAGTTTGCGTGCCAGAAACATGTGGTATGTCATTCTTGGCAGTCACTCTGGACTTCCTTCCCGTGAGGTCCACCAGAGCCCAGGCCTGGACATCTTCTGGAAGCACTGTAAGATCTTTCTATTTAGACAGGCATCTAGAGGCAAGGCTAAGCTGGGATGTTTGTGTGTGGGGGGCGGGGAGGGGCTGCTCTACAGTTTTAAATTAATACTCTACTGGCTTTTGTAAGTGTAATATTCTACTGACTTTTAGAAGGGTTTGGTATACAAGGGCATTTATAGCCTCCCAGATCTTTCAATCAATAGTTCCATTATTCCATGTAATTGGAAGAAGGAGTAGAGGCAAGCTCCTTCACCACTTTTTGGGAAGAAAAAGGGAATCTTCTGGAAGAGAAACATACTTCAGCTACAGTGCAAGCTTACTTGTAGTTAAGCACGCTGAGCAAAATAGGCTGCATTTTCCCACATGCAACACACACCTGTGTTTGAAAGACAGAATGAAGTAAAAACGATTTTTTCTAGACTTATGGCTGAACAGAGAAGGGATGGAGCCTAAGCTTCAGATGAATCACCCTCCATTTCCTGCTTAATGAAAGCTGAGACCCTAGCTGCTACTGAGGACTGGCCTCTCTGGGTAGACCTATGATTCTGAAGAAAAGCTAATCTCTAAGGCTGTGAAATAGGGGTAGAGAGATGAGAAGCAGCTAAAATTGTCCAAAGAAAGGTTAGGTTAACTGATGGAACCTCTAGACTATTAAGAAAGAGAGACAATTGTTAACACCTCTGTAGTGAAGAACAGTGAATTACTGAGGGAGTCAACTGACTCCTTTAGTTGCCTGAACAGCAATGCAACTGTGGAGCAAGAAGCAAAGCAGGATGTATCCCAGGCACAAAATCAGCTTAATACATGCACCCCAATTTGGTGTGTTTGTGCGTGGGGGGAGGCTGATTTTTGGGAAAAGAGGTGAATGTTGTGTGCAAGAAAATACAGTACTTCAGAACAGGAGTGTTTCACTGTCCAAACAATTTAACAAGACAACATTATACTACAAAATATGCACATCAAGTAAAAAATGTGTTACCTCTTCTGCCCCTTTGTTTCTTTTGATCTTGATAGTCGAGGTCCAGCTGTCGCACGGAGACCACCTCTACGGAACTCAGCCAAGCCCAGATCATCTGCAGGGAAGTTACCCGACTGAGTTCTTCTTATTCTTTTCAGAGAGCAGAACACCAAGGCATCAAAAGTTAGAGTGCAACATGCAACATTTCCGTTTCATCCAGAAAATGTCACGACACTAGAAGGTGCAATGGTCCTCCAATAATTCCACAACATAGATGCCAGAGAAAGAAAACCTTGCTCCTATATTGACATATTTTTACTTGCTAAATTTTGCATTTTAAGAAAAAAATGTAATTTAGGTATTAGGTTTATTATCAGAATGACCCACCCCAGGTCAGAGGCAGGCGGGCTGGCACTGGGGCCCGAGTACTGCCAGTGCTTCTTCCTGCAACAGCCTTGGGGGAGTGCCCGCAACCAACATTTCTCTCTGTGGCAGCATGGGGAGAGTGCCCACAGCCAAAGCCCTCTGCTGCTGAATGCTGACAAAGGCCCACATTCATGGGCTGGATCTGGCCCACAGGCCATAGGCTGCTGACCCCTGATGTAAAAGGTTGAGAATAAGACTTTTATACCAAACAGAAAGCCAAGAGATGTGTAAGTTATGCTGCTCAGTTCTGAGACTGTACCCTGATAACTCAACCATGACTATTAAATTATTCATGACTTAAAGTAGACAAATACCTATGATGGCCCAGGGTCAAGTCCAAACTTTTATTTGCAGAAGTAGAGAACTTGTGACAAAGATAAAAGCAATTGCATTTTTGGCTTCTATATTAACATGCTTTACAGGAAGAAATCAGAGGACTTCTGAATTTCTTGTTATAGCATTTTGGCTCTTTTATTAGTACTGTAATTTATTCTCTCTCCGTATGTGTGTGAAAACATCAGAATCACATGAACACAGGAGGTTTGATAATTGAACATTGATAAAGAGTGTACAAGATCTTACTTTCCCCAGATTTTCTTGATGCCTTTTGGGTTCCTTTTACAGTCTGGAGATAATGAAGACTGTGGACCTGTGTCTGTTCCAGAACAGAGGGGTGAAAGATCGTCTGAAGCTATTGTACCATCTTCATTCTCCATTTCTCCTAAGGTTAAAATAAATACATGAGATACACTTGAGATAATACAATAAAAACACAAGATAGCTTCAGAATAATTATCTGGAAGGCAATAATTAACAAATACTAAAGCTGAGTTAGCTTTAAAAGTGGACTCATACTAAACAAATGCCACTGTGCAGAAGGTAAGAATACATGCTAGCCATACAACCAGAGACAGACTGTCAAAGCAGGATGCCCAAGAAACACTGAGCAAAAACTGAATATAATCCCAGAGAGCTACACCCCTAAAAGCTACCTTTGAACTAATTCAAAGAATCCTAGTTCTTAAAATACAGTGGAAATTCTCTCAATTATATAACTGTATTTACATTATTTCACTGGAGTAGAACTTAACATGTCCTTAAAAAAACTAAACTTGTGCCACATCAATATCACTGATTTGTAAAGAAACAACTAGTGGTATTGACTTCTGTCATACACTAAACAATATTAGACATAAGACATGGCTGCCTCCATGTGGCAGATGGCTAGGTCAGATATCTAGGGTGTGAGAAGGGGGTGAGGGCCATATTGTGGCTCCATATTGCTTTACCATATTTAGTAGGACTGTGCAAATCTTTGGTTGCTGATTTGATTCAGAGGAGATTTGGCCTGATTTGGTAGCCAAATCTCCAAATCCGAATCTGGAGACCAATAAAAGGTTCGAATGAATCCCAAGTTTCCAAATCAATTCTGAAAAAGATTTGGAGGATATTCAGAGATTCAGCAATTTGAGCAGTCCCTGCTCACTGCTGCAAGGAGCTGGACCTGGACTCCATGCATATAGGGGGCGGGGGCAGGGGGCTGGAGGAGGTGGGAGGGGATCATGGCTCCAAATCCGAATCTGGAGACCAATAAAAGGTTCGAATGAATCCCAAGTTTCCAAATCAATTCTGAAAAAGATTTGGAGGATATTCAGAGATTCAGCAATTTGAGCAGTCCCTGCTCACTGCTGCAAGGAGCTGGACCTGGACTCCATGCATATAGGGGGCGGGGGCAGGGGGCTGGAGGAGGTGGGAGGGGATCATGGGGGACCCCTGCACCCACTTTCCCAGCCCCACCAATGGCTGCCCCACCCAGCCCCAGCATCCTGGCACTTAAAAAAAAAAAAAAAAAAAAAAAAGCCCCTCACTCACTGGTTGCTGCAGTGGCCGTCAGGGCCTCTGGGTGCTTGTGGAAGATCCTCCCCATGCAGCATGGGGCAGTGGGGGGCAGCAGGGATCACCCCCCTGCCTGGCAGGAGCTGGTGAGTGTGAGGCTCTCTCTCTCTTTTTTTTTTTTTTTCTTTTTTAGGAACCAGGACACTAGGGCTGGACGGGGCAGTATTGACAGGGCTGGGAGAATGGGCGAGGGATGGGGGCCCTTTCTGGTTCAAGTTAAAAATCACAGTCCCCCAGCATCCCAGCATGTTTTGCAGCCCTCTGCTGTCTACGCCAGCAAGCAGGGTTGGCCCCACCCCTCTGCTCCCTAGCTCGAGCAGTGGTGGCAGGCTGACAAGGGGGTGGCAGAGGCAAGCCTGCTGGTGATGCAGCCCAGTATGTAGCATGGGGACTGCCCCCCAGGCAAACCCGGGGGGCAGAGCCAGGCAGGGGGGTTAAACACCCCTTCTCCTGGTCAAACTTACTGCTGGCTGTGACTATGGACTACAAAGCCCAGAGGCACCTAGAAGCAGGAAGAGGAAGTGATGAGCAACCCTGCAGAGTTTGGCTGTTGTGATTTTGGACTGAAAATCCCACAGACCTTGGGGGCAGCAGGAAGAGGAAGCAAACACACAGTTGATGCTGGCTACATGCCAGAGACCTGTGCTCTAGTGCCTCCCAGCTTCTGGCCTGAGCCACTGCAGGCATGTGGCTGCATTACCTGAATCAAAGGAAAATGTCTGTTCACTTCTGTTTCATTTTAATCTCTGCAGCTTAGACTAACCTACAGAGACTGAATAAATTGAGTCTTGTCCTTTTTGACTGCCTGTACTTAGCCAGGGTGCCTGTACATGAGCTGGGAGGGTGATCCAATGAGCTCTATTTATAGCGCATCAGAGCAGACTTGATCAAGTCTGCTGGAGCATGGCAATAACTACTCTCCAGCCAGCCCCTGTGTCTCATTTATCAGCATTCCTACACGTCAAAATGGTGGTGGGGGTACTTTAACTACAGCTTGTTCAATGAGCTTTAAATAAGCACCCCTGCAGCTATTTTGAAACATAGGGATGCTGATACACAAGATGCTTTAATTAGAGTGCATCCCTCCCCTCAACCTGCAGAGCACATTTGAATATGCCCATAGAGCCTTGCCTATAAGTGGATGGAGAGCAAACAGCTACCCTTGGTTAGTCACTAAATTTGACTTGAGGCAGTGATACAACATGTATGTCAGAGTATAGTTACTCCATTTTTTTGGTGAGGAAACATTACAATGGAGGTCAAGTGACATAAGCAAGTATAAGGCTGTACAACGGGTGTCTGCTTCATTTTTACCCTAAATGTGCCATGTGTCTTCACACGCTGATTGGACCGATGGAAGGAAAATCAGATTTGACCAAGTGCATTCAAACCATCTCTAATTCTCTCCAATTATAATAATGTTATTCTAGGTGACACTAATGTGTGAAGCTGAGATGAAATAATGGAACAATGCCAGTCAAAATTTGGCCTGTTATGATAACTATGAAATCCTGATTTGTCAAATGCTATAAGAAACCAAGACATACCACAGAAAAGCTGCATAACAGAGAATCCTTGTAGATTAGTGAAACCAGGAGATACTAGACTGCATACTAAATACTAAACTTACTTGCCCTTGATTCTTGAAATACCACAACAAAAGAAGAGAGTAAACCAGGACCGATATTTGTTGCAGTTAACCCTTGTATTCTTCTCTAGATCCTTCCTAGATAGGGAAGCGATCAAGCAACTTGTGTAGATACTGGGACTAATCCCTACTTGGGAGTGTGTTTCTATGTACAGTTAATGCTTACTTTGATGTACTTCTCAAATCACTTTGGTAAGACTCTCAAACTTGCACTGCTACTTGCACTCAGACATTCACTTGCACTTCTGAACTAAGGGCACAATTCCCCTCTGAGATTTACACTGTGGATTTTGAATGAAAGATTCCATTCCCTGTGGATGGAAGTCATGGTGGAATCAGTGAGAGCTCAAGCACAGGAAAGCAATCTTTTGTTATAAGCTAATTGGGAAGGGAGCTAATTACTGTTTTATATTTGTAGAGTGACATCCTTGTACAGACAGATAGTTTCTTCTGGGAGAATTGCTACTCTCCCATGAGACACCATGAGCGTACAGATGTTCAGCCCTTTTCACTTAGAGTAAAAATGGCCACTCCAGGAGAAAAATAACCTGGCAGCAACCAGGGTTAAATCACTCCTTGCACAACTTCTCCTGGGGGAATGAATGCCTGTACATGTTGTAGCTTCTCTCAAAAGAGAACAACATCCTTCATCATCCACCCTTCCCTCCCAGGGAGACAGTGTTTCACTTGCTGGATTTTGCTGTCCCAGCAGAGAGCAGAACATGCCCTATGCCCCTTTCACAATCTCCACATTGTACTGCAGGGAAACAGGATGACCATGGGCAGTCTAGGTCAGCCAATCAGGGCTGCTCTATGCACTTTGTCACAGGCAGAGTAAGGGAGCTTGCAGAACATGCTGAGATGTATGCACAGGACTTCTCTCTCTCTCCCTGTGGCTGCAAAGTGTCAGCACTTCAAGCTCTCTATTCTTCAGGGCCTCAATAGTCAAATGTCTGTACATGCGGCTCTTGTTAAGTTTCTGTACCAGTAGAACAAACTGAGAGAATTCTCCCAGTTTATTTTAATGAGTGTATGCAGCTACAGTGGGGTTCTGAACCATGGGGCTGTCACAAGACAGCTGATTAAACAAAACAATTAAAAGGCAAATTTATTTTACAACCTTTGTTTCAGGGATTTATTAGCAATTTGTGTTTTATTAAAATAGGATTTTTCAAAAGTTCTCATCACTGATCTAACGTGCCTCTCTTAAATTTAATGGGAACTTTACTCTTGCAATGGAAGCTTAATGAGGGCAATGTTGAAAAGTTTTGAAAAATCACATGTTAATACTTTAGAAGGAAAACTGTCTTTTGTTTTAGGATGTCATCCAGCAATTTGATTGGGATGCCCCAGCTGCAAGTAATATTTTTAAATAGTAATAAAAAGAGAGAAAGCAAAGAAATTAAATTCACAGTGAGGATATAGTTGTATCTTGATTGGATACAATACCTAATACTGGTGCACTGACACTCCTGATGCGATCTTCAGTCATTCCAAAAAGCAGAAAGCCAGATGAAGAAGCAAAGATGATGGAAAATACCAGCAAAATAAAGTTATAGAAAAGCAAAGAAATGAACAAAGCATCAAAGACAGAAAAATGATAGGAAGCAAAGTTACAGTACAAATACAGCTGGATCAGCTTTAAAACTGGCATATGAAGAACCCAGAAAAGCTCTAAGCAAGTTGTCTATATGAAAATAGATAATGATGACCTTTTTTATGAATTAATATATATTTACATCTTTCCAGTCAATTTTAACATGATGACAATTAAGTGTACAGCTCCAGATTAAAAAAAAAAAATTCAAAAGGAACAAACTCCAAATCTACATGGGATTTTTTTTAAATGGGGAAATGAAAGATGCAATGACTAAAAACAAACAAAAAACCCAAAAGCAACTACACAATAAATATTTATTTAAAGAAAATAAGCCTTGACCAATGAACATGCTGCTAACCCCTGCTAACTGTTTTGCTGACTGGGAATAATTGAAAAAAAAATGAGCAAGTCATAATTATTTTAATAATTTTAGAGGACACTTGAAACATTTTAACACAAATATTTACTCTTTCAATGCAGTACATTTATGGGGTCATGATCTTTTAGAAACACAACAACAATCTTCCTAAAACTACTAATTCTAGTACCACCATCCTTCAGGTATGAGCAAAACTAATATAGGCCTCACAGTACAGTGCAGAGACTCACTGAAACATGAAAATGTGATCATGAGGGACACCTTTTTGTATTCAAACTAAAATTTTACATCTGAAATGCTTCCTCTTAGCTCTGGCAGCTTTGTGCAATAATGCACTAATGCATATTAACTAGGGTTGTTTAAAAATGTAAGAATCATGTCACTTACTGAACTTTTCTCATGGGAATTCTGAAAGGTATCTTGCTCCACTGTGGGGATAATATATTTTTTCAAATGATGGAATAGGGACTTAACTGATTAAAGATAGGTAGATTTTCAAAGGAACAGAGAACTGTGAGGCACTTAGCTTACCTTGCCTTAAAGCCCTCTCTGAATGCCAGTGGACATGTCTACATGAGATGTTAACTGCACAGTAGCCGAATAATATTGTGCAGTAGTGTGTCCCAGCACAAACAGTGCTAATACGCTGCTGCGCAGTACTATTAGGTTACTGCACAGTAGCATCACTAAAATGGTGTTCACTGGTGCTACTGAGCCGTAACTCTGGTTACTGTGTATTTATTTAGTACTTGATTATACAAGTACTAAATAAATGCACAATAATCACTGCATAGTGGTGTCTCATGTATACATGCCCACCATATGCTTACCGTGGTACTTTAATACACAAAGTGCATTACTAAGAAAACAAACAACTTGAAAGGAAATGAAAGCATAATTTATGTCAGTTTTTAAATCTACTGGGACTTTTCTGCCTCTACAAAATATTTTTTTCTTATAGATATCCATGAGTTATACTGATAATGGTACAGACGATCAAGAGTTTTGCCTGAAGCAAGCAGTTCCATTTCCATTGACTAGACCACTGGTTTTCAACCTTTTTAGCCTCAAGGCACCCCTCCATAAATTCTTCTGAATGTTGTGGGTGCCCAGTAGAGAATCTATGAGCTATACTTGATCTTAGCCCACAAGAGGCAGAGAAGATCTATACTCAAAAAAGATTGGAGAGATGCCTTGAGGCTAAAAGGGTTAGAACTACCAATTTAGCTGGTGCCACAATGATTATACACAATTATTCCATCTCCCTTCTCAGGGAAGTCTGAATACTTACTCAGGCTCATTGTGCTGCTATCCTCATTATCGTTCGTTCCAAATACATTTGGGGAAGTGGATGTATTGTAAACTCCATGATCTCCATTAGGTGTGGGTCGAAGCAGCTTCCCAGGTAAGGTCTGATATTTGCTATTTTTTACATGTGGCTTATTCTGGTTTTTTTCATAAAGAAAAAGAAAAGCTATAATATTTGGAATATGTACACTATATTAATTTAAGGGATAGTTAAAAACATTTGGAATTCACAAAAAGTGTTTAAAATCTGAATCTCTGTTTCTTTCTAACTTTTAAAGTTAAAACAGACAAGCAATTTTTCTTTCTAGCTGAACCAACGCTTGCATCTTGTATAAGGAATAGAATCCCCCTTGCCCAAAGGTAGACCAAGTTAGTAAGTAGATACATAATGTTAATATGTTAAATACTGTTCAGCATATTGTGCTTGTTTCATCTTTAGCACTTTCTTCTTTACCCTTCTTTCATTCTTCTCCCAATATGTTCCAATATGTGAAAGTTTGGCCCCACTGATGTCTTGGCAGAACCTCACTGACAGTAGCGGGGCCAAAAATCCCACTCGCTATTTTCTATTTGCCTGAGCTCTACTCCTTTTTTCCATTTAGTTTTTCTAATGCTGTCCCCCATTCTCCCCATTTCTTGCCTTTGCTCCCTCTCCACACATGAATAATGTGATTCCCAGAAACATTTGGTTTCTCAGGCCCCTGGCGCACTATCATTTAAAAGGCACCATGGAATCTGAGTCCTGATCTCAACAACTGCACCTCTGAGGCATGATGTTGGGATCAGGGATTAGATCTCAAATGTGCCTTTTCTACTTGCCAGTGTAGGAGCAGCCAAGGATCATGATCCCAGAGCCAGGGCCAAAAATCAGCTGCTTTTAGCACCCTTGCTATTTTTGCGGGACTGCACTGGGGCAGGGATGAGACCCTGGAATTAACACATTCATTGCTACAAAAACGTAATGTGTATTGGGGCTCTGTGTGGTGGTACTAATAAAAATATGTATTTTTATAAAACTATAGCTAAATAACTACATGCAGTTAAATTAATTTCCCTATCTGTTTAATATACCTTATATGAACCTATAGGAAATATTTTTTCCCACTACTAATAGTTTTAATATAACTTTTAGAGGGAAACATAGGAACAAAACTATACTTTAGATCTAGTCTGTTTAGAATGGCTGTTTAAAATACACTAACTATTCTACAGAGCTTTTGCTTCTTTCATACTAAACTAGAGACCAGTCTAGAATTGCTCTCAGCCACAAGTGCTTATTATTGTGCATATCATCATTCAAGTCAGTGGGACACTAAAGGTGGCAGAGTTTATGCCTGGTAGTTCACAGGATAAGTCTCCCAAAGGCTCAACATTCAATGTATTGGTCTAAAAGGAAGCACTTATATTTTTGTTATACATGCTATCCTAAGCATAGAAATATCTTGCATTTCCCTAAAGTAAACAATCATCTATTTTGTTAGCCCAAACTCTTTAAATGTGTATAATGGGTACATTAAAAACCCCCTACAGATGCACTTTCAAAAACCTGCCTTTGTGATGTGAATCTGGTAGTTTTGAGCCTAATGAGACTACTTTCAATCTGAAGTATATGCTTCCCAGGTGTATTTGCTGCTGCCAGCTTTGAAATATTATCCTAGTGGGGGCTAAACCTGACTAGAATGTGCATATCCCTTCTTGATCAGGGTTTAATCCAAATGAAAGGATGAGAGGCCGCCACACTGGACATGGCCATATACTCCATAGAAGTTGAATAAATTGAGTAAATAGGCTCTTTTGAGAAATTTTATCTTAGCATTATCTGAAATAACAGTAACAAGGAAAGGTACGTATGGGAAGAAAGAAAGTAAAACATTCACTCCACAGAAATCTACCATGTAGCCCTTATTCAGAAACCCAACATTTACCTGTGCATGTTCAGTTTCAATTGCAACTATTGCTAGTAAAAAAACATGGGAAATGCAGAGATGTACCACACTGCTAACTTGTAATCTACTTAAAAAAATTAAAATGTTTAATATGTAAAAGCTTTACATAATAATCAATATTTGTTTTATGGGTTTTTTTTAATGCCTCCACTTCTTTGATGAACCAGTGAGGGTAAGAAATATAAACTCCTGATTCACGTAATTTTTTTAAAAGTCAGATTCAATTCACATTGAAATAAATGAGATTTTTTACTGTAGCTTGTAATCACAGGAGCTGGATCAGGCTTGTGTACAACAGGATTGAGCATATACTAGACAGCAAGGTCTTAACGGGTTTCCTGTTTTCATATGACTTTATGACAATAGTTTCTTCTGGTTTTAATCTAGTTCACATAACAAAATCCAGAGAACTTTACTTAATTTCTGAATCAAATCAAAAACTGTAGTTTAAACTATAGGAGGAGAACACCCATTCTTGATCCAAATATTTCATATGGTATAGAATCCACTGCATCCCTTAGCAAATTGATCCAGTGGATAATTAGTATAATTTTTTTAACGTTTACTCTTAAAAATTCTTTCTTGTATCTGCTTAATTTTACCTTCCAACTATTGAATCTTTCTAAGTTTTTTTTCTGTTAAATACCTGATTTCCCCCCCCTGCTTACTTAAAAAAAAATAAAAAAATTAACAATACAAAATATTGAAGGAAAACCAGATGTGAAGTGAAAAAATAGCCAAACCAAATCACAATTATAGTGGGTAAATATTAAAGGAGTTAAGATACAGTTAATATACCTCTTGTTCTACAACAGGGTCTACTGGCTTGCCGTCTACATGCTATCGAGTTGCAGGGAAGGTAATTTCAAAGTTTTGATGGAAAAAAGTAACAGACAATTGTTAGTATACACATACAAAAAACACAAAACAACAGTTTTAGTCTGATTTCTAGGGTAGTAATGCTGCTTATAGATATTGATATTAAAAGGTCTATTTTCTCCTCAGATATTAAAATAATAAATATTCAAAATCAAATGTTTCAAGTCCAACCATTTTACAAAACAGAGATCCCATCTAGGTTTTATTAAGGCCAGTGGATTTTTTTTGCCTTACAATTCAGCAAGAGAGGAATCAGGCCTATAGATTAGGAATCACCTCAACCAAAAACCATTGTTGCCTGCTTTAGAGTGGGATATGTCATCTTTTTGAGAACCCACAGCAACCTTATATTTCATAGCAGCAGCAGATAGAAAGGGAAGAACATCTTAGTCAATTGCAGCTGTGGAAAAAACTTGAGTAGAAATGTAATTATGGAAATGGTAACCTAAGTCAGATTGACTACACTAATTTTTATTTAAAAAAAAGAAATGCCATGTGATATTTAATCCCTGCAAGTAATCAGTATCACTGTCTTATGTTTCATGCAAAATATCGTAGCTCCAAGTAAGACAGGACCCTCAGCATTAGCTCATTGGACTCAAGGAAAGAATACCAAAAAATAAAGGCCTTGATTCAGTAATGCGGGGAAGCATATGCTTAAAACATATTAACAAGCTGACAAATACTGAGCAAACCACTTATACATATACTTACGGTATATCTACATGTTGCACTATGGCGACATAGCGATCACATGAGTCTACACATGACCGGCAGCTACTTCACCATGGTGGCGTGCTCCCCTGTTTTAGCATGCCACTAGGTGAAGTAGAAGCAAAAACTAACCATGTACCATGCGCACGGCACAGTATGGGTGGTTAGTGCACCTTGCTTTAGTACTTCCAAAAGGTGCAGTAACATGGTTTAGTAACAATGTCACCATAGGGCGATGTGTAGACATGCCCTTAGACCCCACTGACTTCACTGGGATTGTTCATGTGCTTCATCTTAAGTACTTGTATAAATGGTTTGCTGAACTGGAGTTTAAACTAACTTATTTGCAGCTTTCTGTATGTAGCTTCTCTTCTAACTACATGCCTTTTTTCTGAGACCTGGCAACCCACACCCCAGACTGATGGATCAATTCCTACCCATGAATAATGTATAGGTTTTTTTTTTTAACATTAATAGGGTATGGAGGAGAACATCTAGGGGAAAATAGACCTTTAAAATTCTACAAGGAACTAAAAATGTTAGTCCTTGATTCATTTGCCATTTGTATCACTGCAATAAAATGTGTGCAAAATGAATTTCAAACATTTTAATTAGTTATAGTCATCCTAAAAACTCAAAAGAGAACAGAAAAGATTTTAAGACAATTTGAAGAAACTTGGGAATTGACCATATTATTGTAGATATGGTTACATATTTAAATGGCATTAATGTGCATGGACAACTAGTATTTTACAAACCCAGCATATTTTAAAAATCAACAATACTCAGGCAAAATTAAAATAATAGCTCAGAAACCCCCCAAAATGATCCATTTGATTGTATGGAAATAAAGACTTCAACAAGCTGAAAAGGAAGCCTAACTGAAATGTATTTAAGTCTTGGTATTAAGAATATTGCTTCCCCTGTTTAAATAATATAACAGCAACACCAACTTCAGTAATGACATTTATTTATATCAGATGTCTAGCACAGGAAGTAATAAGTATATTTACAAGTAATCACAATCCTGGGCAGAAATAGTTACTTTGCCTCAATATTTAGTAATTTAATTTATTTTAAAATAATTTTAAAGGTAGGTTATCTTGCACCTCTGGAATTAAAGTTATTTTATACATAAAAGAAATACATGTTAATTGTGTTCACGATTGTTTCCATTGTTACATCAGAAAAAGCATTATAAATTTTTGGTAAGATAAATCTACAACAGCAATGAATCACTGTAGAATTTCATAAAACAGAAACATTAACAGTGATTTAGCAGGAGATGAATGTCCATATACTAACAGCATTAGACACTGGATCTGGAGACAATACTGTGAAATATAGGTAAATAAAATATTTTGAGGAAGTACAAGTGCTAATGTGGCAACTCCATAAAAATATTTACTTTTAAAAAGAAAAAAAAAGTATTACTTATTCAAATAGTAGCCTTGCACCAGTTTTAAAGAACATATGCCCCTAACCTAATCACAGAAAGATTAATTCTCATTCTTATTTACACATTCAATATATTTCACTTCAGTGCAGTTTTTGCTTCCTCCATCTTTTGCATGCTCCATCTTTTTTAGCTGCACAGCTTATTTTTTGGATGTTTTGGTGCAGACAAGTCAAATATTTTGTTCTCTCTAAGCTTGGATGTGGGGGAAAAGATTTTGAACTACAACGTCACAAGTCTTTTTGTAGATTCAGTATTGGCATTGGTTGCTCAAGTATACTACAAGCAGTCAATATCTATATTCAACATACATTTCTCAGTTTTGACATTAAATATGAAAAGTTTGAACTATTTATAAACTAACCTTTTCCAGGGATTCACTCTGCAAGTCCTCTAGACTACTTGACAGTTTCTTCTGTGGAACCCTTAAAGTATACAATAAATTAAATTGAGAAAGAGTTCCTCAATAAATACAAAATAACTGCTGAGGAATAATACATATTACCCAGATGATAATATTTATGATCATAGGATCCATAGACAATTTATTTCGACATATTATTAGCCAAGTTACCCAATGAAAAAAAGAGACAGCAGGAGACCAAGACAGACCCAAAAATAAAGGGTGCAGTAAAACTAGTTTAATATTTAACATACCATTATGGTGTATCTATTAGTAGTGTTTTAAAGGGCCTTTCATCAGGACAAAAAGCAGAAATCATGGAGTAATTTGCAATAGACAGGAACCTTTAAAACCATCAAAATTTGGTGGAAAAAATCACAAGATTTCCAGCTAAACGTTCTGCAGATTTCAACCAATTCTTGGGACACATTTTTCAAGTAATAGTATACTTGCCTACTTCTGATTTCTGAAGATTCCTCATGTGGAGAAATTAGGTTATTTGAAGGAACTGGAATACTTCCACTGTTAATCAGAATAAAATAGCTTATTTTAAGTTTTGTGGTTATCTATACTTCTCAATATACAACATTACTAAATCAGCATTGTCAGCATACATGACAAGCAGTACTTCCTCATCCTGTTACAGAGAAGAAAATGCAAGATAATATATTATCTCTATATCTAATATTATTTTATTAATACATGCATAGATTATTTATGCTAGTTATAATTCGCAAAGAAAACATGAAACAGAGATCTTGCCTGATTTCCAAAGCTTTTTTTGTTACTGACGACACCAGAGTTGATGACACGTCTGTCGGAGGTACCTATGTGAAACATATAAGGCCCAGTTCATGATTCTAATCCATATGCAGTATTTGAATTTGAAGAGCAACCAGCAAACATACAATTTACCCATGGACAAATTCTGCCCTGAGTTATATTGTGGCAAAACACTAAGATCAAGGGTGTGAGCAAGGGCTGTTATAAGAGAGATTTAGTTTTAAATAATGAATTTGTTAAATACCTCTGTTTTAAGTAGTTCTCCTTGGGGTTTAGTCACAGGATTCCACTTCCTCAAGCTTGTTTCAAGTTCCTCTTCACTACCACCAGACAGAACTCTGTCTGACGAGCCTGAAAGAATTAAAGGTCAAAGGTACATTAGGAACCTTACAGACTAAAATGAATATTAAATGGATTCTTATATGTTCATGAAGAGCTGCCCTATATCCCCTTTACAGTGTGATTTTAAAAAATGGAGGAAATATAAAGAGAAAACACTGCATTCCTTTGAGTAAAAGGCATGTGTTTTTGAATAAGAACTCTCCATCATAATCTAGTTTTTCCTGCTCCATCCCAAAGTGAAGTCTTAATTAGAAATTTATATAAACACAGAAATATACCTACCCTGACATTCCAGTACTCAAAGTCAAGGGTTATTTTAGCCTGACAAACTATTACAAATGTGGATAATGAATGGTTCATATTTCACCAGAATGATAATGAGAGCACAGCAGGGGAAAAAAAGCAAAGTTTTTTCTTCTTCTTCACCATATCTGAGGCACTGATAGTGCTCTTATTAGACTCTCTGTTTTACAACTCAACCTACAGAATACTTTCCCCCACAGGTGCTGAGTCCTTCAGTACCAGGTGTAGTATGATACCCTCCACCATTTGAAGATGCAGCACAGAACTAACAAATATTTCCAGATTTGTGATCAACTTTCTGGTAGGTTAAATTCCCTTAAATCTACACTATGGGTCAATGCAGCCATTAACACACCTGAATCAGACTTGGACAGCTGGAAGGTAAAACTAAAGCAGATGCTGAAGTTACATGAGACAGAGACACCATAAGTGCTGGCTTAATTTAGAAAAAGAAGAGATATGTCTACCTCCTGAAAATCTGAGCAGAATAAAGTTTCCTTTGATAGTTAGCCTGCTATAACAACTCATTTTAAAACCCCTACAGTACTGTAGAATGACTCAAACTAGAGATGTCGAGACTTACAACTTGCTCAAGCAGTATCTGGACAGATCTTGTGCACATATGCACTTCCTATCTTTGTGGAAAATCCACTACAGTTAAATTAAATAATAACAGAACTGAATGTGTAATGTTTTAAAATTTCCCTAACATGGAAGCTAATCTCTTAAGGCCAGTCTGTGAAAAAAGTGAACTAGTCAGAGGGTATTGCTATTATTGACAAAAGTATGACACCAGGATGTCGGGACTCAGTAATTTATAGCAAGAAATTTGGTGTAGTTTCAGGGTTCTTTACCATAAATCAGCAAGTTCAAAGATAATTGCAATCAGCTGATATGAATCATACTTCATATTAATTTTGCTATCTGTTGAATTTATAGAACCTATACATTCACTGACATATACTGACAAAACTCATCTTCAATGGATGCTGTTCTAAGAAAGTATCAAATACTGATCTACATCAATAGGTAAGGCATTCATGGGAGATAAAAGAGAAGTTATATATGTGTGCAATTGTTTTGCTTTTTCTTTACATTAATATGAATCGATGATGTAGTTTGGAGGAGATTTTTTAAAATGTATGCTTCTTGAAATCTCTCCCCTATATAAACAGCTAAGATTTTCTACAGAAAATCTAAGCAAATTCCTCCCAGTAAAACAAAAACCAAACCTAGACAAACAAGAAATTAGCCTCACCACAATTTTAGGATGTTTCTCTAAGTAGAGAATTGTCGAGACAGAATATATTAAAGAATCCATAAAATCTAACAAACTTTAAAAAATAATAAATAAAAACGTTAAAAACTGTTTTGTATTCACCTGTAATACTGTTCTGAATCCTGGGAGAAACCCAGGTATCTGACCAATTAATTTTTAATATTCCTCCATAAGTTAACAAGTTTAAAGACTTTTTCCAAAATGCTCTGTATTTAATTATACAAAAACTGGGTCATTGCAGGATTGTATTTCAGAAAAAAACCCATAAGAATTACATTATGCCTCTGGAAAGGATTATAATTACATAGAACAAATACTGCCTAACAAACACCCTATTCAGATTAACAACTAAACAAAATGGAAGGTAGGTCAGAAACAGGAAAATTACTTTCAACTTTCCTTTTTGTCTTTTAGCCTTCTGAAAAGGGGACCCCCCTCCCTCCAAAAAAAACCAACAAAAACCAACCAAGTAAAACATCTGGTGACTCTGTGTCTTCTCTTCCAGTCTTGCATTACTGTATAGTAAGTAGTAAACAAATAACAGCACTGGTAAACATGCTTAAAGGCTAAAAAGCTTACTGATGAATACTTTCCAGGTTTAAGAGGATCTCCCAAACCTAACCAAGCACAATAAGATTTCTTACAATAGCACCAAATCAGTAGTAGTAACGGTATTGCTATTATTTACTTGATTCCAAGACAACCTCCCCCACACCTCCAAATTCAACATAGGGAAAACATAGCCTCATCTTAGAATCAAGTATCAGGTACAGTACCTGCAGTCTGAAGAGGTAGCAGGAATCCATTTGAAGAGCATGGAGCTGCTAGGTACTCAGCACAGAGGAATGGGGCAATGAAGTATCTGATGTGGGGGGCCAGGGCAGTGAGGGACCTAGGGTAGAGGCATCCAGCATAGAGGGACCCAGCATGGAGGCACGGGGCAGTGTTGGATCCAGTGCAGAGGTGCAGAGTGGTGTGGAATCCAACTGGAACATGTGGGGTGGCCAGGGACTTAGTGCAGAGACACTTGGCAGTGTTGTACATGGGGGTTGGGGGGAACGAGAGGAGGGGCAAGTGTTGCAGGCAGGCAGCAGGGGAAGCATGTGGTAGGTCGGGGCAGTGTAAGTGGTGGGGACCCTTTGTGTCACAAAGCTGGCTTCAAGTGAGGATTTATCCAACATGAGGGAACTTGAGAGCTAACGCCCAAAATAGACAGTGTTTCCAAGCAAGAACATCTGATATTGTATCTCAGTGTATATCTATATTGCAATCTAAATGTGCAATCACAGCTTATGTAGACAAACCTGAGCCTCCCAAGCATTTATCCAGGCAGGTGTTGAAGTCCATGCTTTCATGAGCTACTCTCATATTGGTACCTGAACCAGTAACAATTTAAAGCTAGGTCAAGTTAGTTTACATAAGCTGCCATTGCCCCTTCAATTGCAGGATAGTTATATCCTCAGGCACTTTCAGACAAGAGGTTTTTCCTATAAAAACCAAAAAGGGCCCTGTACAAATAGATTGACTTGATTTTTGAGTTACTTGTTTTCCCCCTGTTGGGCACATGTTAAAAAATGATTGAAAATAAATATATTTTAAAATGCAATAGGGACAACAATCAAAACCCAGCTCCTCACAGACAAGTCTGTAGCCCAAATTATTGTTCATAGATAGAAGAGTGATAAAGTGAGTGGCTCACAATAAGACTACCCTAAAACACCACCCATTCTCCGAATATAATTAATGTGCTGGACAAGGAAAATCTTTAGCACCTCCTAATTAAAGAATGTTTCATCGTTTTCTCATGTCTCTATACCACATCTGACTATTTTGTTACACATGCTTGTGCTTATTTATTGTACTTTGCAAGATCTTTCATTGTACATTAGGGGTGTGTGAAATGGGCCCTATTCGATTTGAATTTGGATTCGGCCCGAATTATGGACAATGATTCGATATGTTGATTCAGATCACTATCCCTGATTCAATTTGGCCAAATCCAAATTTGAAGATTCAATGCTGATTCAGAGAATCAGCAATTCAGACACAGACACAGCTTTAAATGTTTTTTCTACATACGTCAAGGTACCAGCACAGCTCGTGAACACTGTGATGCTGGGTGGATGGAACATCCCACAGGAGTGCGGGGGGGTTCCTCCATGTGCTCAGCGGTGAACCTGGAAGTGGACTGGAAGTACTTCCAGTCCAGTTTGGGGACCACTGGGGAGCATGTGCCACCCCTCCCCCCCGGTTTGGCAATCAGCCATAGGGGACTCCGGGTGCCCCCCTAGACCCAGGAGGCACCAGTTGCCGAGCCAAGGGGGTGGGAGGGCACTTTGACCATATCAAATAGTCCCCAAGTGGGGCACTAATTGGCCTAACCTCATACTACATTGAAAACCAATTACATGCCAACATGTTACAAAAACAATGAGGCCAACCACCAGGTCAACATTACATGGTCTGGGACCCCACTATCCCACTGTCCAAATCCAGTTTACCTTGGAGTCACCCTCAATTGTACCCTCTCATACAAAGAACACAGCATGAAGACAAAAGCAAAGGCGAGTGCTTGTAACAACATTCTGTATAAACTCACCAACTTGAAAGTGGGAGCTAGCCCCTCACCCATCCAAACCACTGCTCTGGCTCTCAGCTTCTCCTCTGCTGAGCATGGATGCCTGGTATGGGACAGATCCATACATGCTAAGTACCTTGACCCCATTCTGAACGATAGCTGCTGATGCATCACAAGATGCCTGAAGTCCACCACCCTAAACAGTGTGTTTGGGCTGGGATTGCTCCATCTAACATCAGAAAAGCAGTGGCCAGCAGGACAGAATGATCGAGAATGCTTTATAATACCTTGCTAAAGCCAAGTTTTTCTCAAAACAGCAGCTGCCCAGGAAGTCAGCAGTGAGGATTTGTTTTGGCAAACTATACTATATTTGCTATCTCTCCTTTTAACAAAGCATTATATGGAAAGAAGAAAAAAGGCTCTCTTTAATAGTGTCAAATTACCTCTGAGAACAAAGTTCTTTGTAACAAGCTTACTGTAAAAACACTTACATAAAAGAAAAACAACCACCTGTTCAGAAACACATTGCAACCATTACTTTAGCTTGCTCTTTGATATCTGATCACTATTGCAACATTTGGAGTTGGACTAATGTGCATGAAATCTGAATAGCAGGACATCATCATCCCATTAACATCTCTTGGAGTCATCTTGCAGTGCTGAAACATATTATTTACGTGCTAGAATTACAAGAAGAAAAAAACCATGCCCAACATTTTGCAATGCACTTTGTTGACTTTCCAAAGTGAATTAAGCTAAATCAGAATTTGGCTATGTTAATTCTGAATAGGAGTGTCTATAGAGTATTTTAATGCAGTTTAACTAATGCAATTCAAATTCACACTTTTAGTTAATTGAGACTAACCTTCCTGAATGTCTACATAAGCAAACCCCGTGTTAACTATCTTGCTGTTTTTCTCCTTTCTCTTCCCACTTTTTGCTATAACAGCTACTGTTCTCTTCAAGTACTGAGCTCTGAGGTCAGAGTTTTTCTCTGGGATTCTATAATCTCAAAATTAATTCGAGCCCAGTTCTGACTGGAGTTCCTAAATGCTGTAAAACAAACAACAATTAAAAATTATCTAACTTACAAAAAACTTCAATTTCAAGTAGACCACAGAATACCAGAATTACAATCCAACCTGGGGCTTTACCATTAAATGATGTAAAACAAACAACTGAAAACTTTTGAAGCTAATAGGGGCACTCACCCACACAAGCCCCTCTGAATAGAAGCTAAATCTCCTAGTGGGCTTTGACTCCAGGTTTCTGATATGAAGTAAAGTATATGAACCAAAATGGAATACATATAATTTTCATGATATACATTTTTTCTATAATTTCTATAATGTGTTTCCTTAAATAGACTTTATTATGCATTTCTTTGTGGCCTACTACTGATGGCCTCATGAAGAATATTCATTACAGAGCACACAATATTTGAAAAGATCAGACATCAAAATATAATTTGCAATGCTTATTTTACCATGGACTGCTATCATTATCTCCTTCACCCTTCTGTACTGGCTAAGCAACACTGTTAACTCCTCTATTCGACGATCCTGGGGAGAGGAAAAAATCATGTACAGAGTATCAAATGTTAATACTTATACATTTATACATAAGGTAAGCTATACATATTACCATATTTACCCACATCCAATATGACTTTGAATTTAAGACAACCCCCTCCCGATAACTAGATCCTATACATGGAAAAATTGATACATTTGTTATAATTTTCCATATACAGAATCTGATTCTGTATCTTAAAGACAGATTGGAGTTATCTTAAATTTGTTCTCTCCCCCAGGATTGCAGTGGGCCAAGTAGTGGCAGGGAGACAGGTGGCAAAGGAGTCAAATGGCCTTGAAGACACAAGGGGACAATGTTGGGCCATGGTTATGGGGGCAGGAGGTGGCAGCAGTTGCAGCTCCAACTTCAATTCCAAGCCTGGGTCGGAGCGGGAGTTGGAACCTAAGCAGCATCCTGCCCCCTCTCTTCCCTCCTGCCCCACTCCCCATAGCTGAATCCAAAGCAAGGGGCTTTTTCACACATGTTAACCCCCATGTTTTGCACTCGAGTAAATACAGAATTACTAGCTAAATGTTACTGTGGTGTATGACACTGCACAGAGAGATATGTCTATGCTGTAGTTGTTGACTACAAATGGGGGGCCATTTCCCAAGGAGGGAAATCAGAGAGGACTGTAGGATATTGGGTGTCATCCTTACTTGAGAGGTGTATTAACATTCAATTCAGACTGACAGGAGGAAACTCTTCCTCATAGCTATGCAATTTAAATTTCATGCGAAAAGCCAGTTCTCCTCTGCAAGGTATCTGTTGAATGTCTGTACAGCTCTCTGTTTGTATAGACTTTTCTCCTGGCACAGATGGAAAAATCTCTATGTGGCCTATGTTTATGCTACACTGCAGACAGAGTGATCACTCAGTGTATTGTAGACATACTCAGATAGAAAGGAGAAGTTTGACAGGTAGGAAGGGGAGCAGATGATATTGATCCTCCTCACAGTCATTGAGTATTTAGGTAAAACAGGCTCATAAAAGAAATCCCGCTTCTAGCCTAACCAAGAATGCAGCTACATCTCTCCATGAGAGAGGACAGATTGTGCTATCCAGGCCAAAAATAAAAATATGCGTTTCATGTAAAATTCAAAACAGCAGTATCCAGCTACTTGAAAATAAATTAAGCATCTGACTACTTCACTTACTGTCCTAAATGGCAAATGAAGTCATTTGAATTTAAATCATTCTGAGAGTGTTTTCTCTCAGGAGGAATGTTTTATTTTGCAAGACTACACAAACAGGCAACTCTGAATAATACACATAAGTACCCCTGGGCTTGCCACTACTCCTCTGTTTAAATACTTTGCAGTCTCTAATAGAACAGCCATTCTATCCTTATAAACACAGCCTCTGATAGTAGAAGTGGGCTAACATATTTTGCGTTCCTTTTAGGATACAAAACATCACACAGACTTGTAAGAGCTCTGCCAGAAGATAATGCCACGTCTTATTGTCCAGATGTAATTTTTGGCTGTTCTGAGAATTAAAGCAGCACAGCCTGCTATGAATCACATTCATTTATGAGATGCTTAAATCTCTAAAATTATCAGTTACCCTTTCAGTGCTTCCTGCTTACAGCAACAAGCCATATGGGGGGACGCTTTTGGATGCCATTCGCTTATACCTTGCACATACTGCCACTAAAATTTTACTGATGCTCATCATGGCCTGGACAATTACTATTATAGTGCTCTAATTTTAAATTTATTAAGAACAAAAAATCCCTCAAGGCTGAATTCTCTTGCAAAAATAAGCAGCACTTTTTATACAATGGATCTGGAACCAATTTCCCAGAGAAGTGGTGCTGGCTCCTACCCTGGGGGGTCTTTAAGAGGAGGCTAGATGAACACCTTGCCAGGGTCGTTTGACCCCAGTACTCTTTCCTGCCATGGCAGGGGGTCGGACTTGATGATCTGCTCAGGTCCCTTCCGACCCTACCAACTATGAAACTATGAATCTGAAGCAGGTCAAATACTGCAATGCTCTTTCTTGGCAGTGTTCAGACCTTGTGCTGCGCCTAGGACCTCAGTTTCAGCTTTAAAAGACAATTTTGACTCACTTACTATCATACAGGGAACTTGATTCAGATTTTATAATGGAAAATTGTGTGGGAAAGTTGTTGATAGGCCACAAACTGCTGCTCCAAGATTACTAAATCTTGCAGGCAGAAAAGGAGGAATGAACATAAAACCCTGGACCTCTGCTTCTCAGATGAAACAGCTTGCAGAAAAAGTAGCACTTTATAAGTGCTGTACCTTGGCTGGTGAGGCAAGGCCAACCCAGTAGGTCCCATAATCCCATGTAAAACTCTCCAAGTCACAGCAATATTGGCTGTACAGATATGGACATGCTAACTCATATCATTATCTCACCTTTTCTTCATTTGCCACCAGTAACGATTCCATTCCTATCTTCAGTCGTTGGACTTCTTGATCTAAAATAGTTTTAAAAGGGCAAGAAAAAAATATTATTATATTTAATGTGTAAGATGGCAATTCTGTTCCATTCTATTTTTTTTTTTGCATGGCCTGTCAGCGTAGGATCTGAGTGCACAAAGCATAATCTAATTAAGGCTAAATGATGACAAATAATCACACTTTTGGGGAGTCTCTTCAAACAACAATTTGGCTTTCCAAGTGCTGTGTTGTTAAAAAAGATGTTTCTAACCATACAGTGTTTTTAGTTTTTGAAAACAGACTACACAGTATTTTATTTTCTTAATGGTTCAACTGCAAAAGTTTTGGAACATATTTTCTGAAATATTTGAGAAACTCCTCTATTGCACAGTTTTTGGAAATAATTTAAACTATCAATGAAAGAAAATAAATTCTCCTCACTGGGAATGTAGTTTATGTGAGATATCTGGAAGCCTAACTCTCAATAGTGATGATAGACTACAAATCAGAAAGTCTGACAACCTACAGTAATACTTTACATTCTTTTGTAGTGTCCATTGCTTAAAGATTTTCATAAACTGTTAAAAACGTTTCTAAATTTGAATAACTGAGAGCAACCTCCAACAATAGCTAATACAGAACTGTACCATACATTACAATGCAACATGTGTAGTTGAGTTCTGTGAGTTGCAGTCAAAAACCCCAATCTCCACAAACGTGTCTCTGAAAATTTATGTTTGTAAAGTGGGACTTAATAACTAGTGATAGGCCCATATCTGCCACTGATTCTCCATGTACAGTTTCCACTGACTGTCCCTATACTTTACACTGCAGCAACCAAATCTAGATGGTCAAGCAGAACACTAATTGTGTTATATCCACCATTGACACCACACAATGGACACACTTCTAGACTTTCAAATGCAAATATTCAGTTTACAAAAAACTGTGCCATCAGTTCTCAAAGATGGCAATGAAATGTAATGCTTAAGTAAATGGAAGGCTGGGGGAGGGACAAAGAAAAGAAAAGAATTAGTGTTGTAAAAAGTCTTATTAGTTAATTTGTTTACACCGAATAGCTAAAATACTGAGCATCTAACTTCACATTCAAATTGTAAATATTTCTTCCAGTTACCCTGAAACCCATACAGCTTCCAATGGCTGTACTATCACTAACACATTTAAGAAAAGTCAATGTTATGTTAAATCTATTGCATACATATTTCTTTTGCAAAAAGTAGCATTTAGTCAACGTGTGACATGCAGTAACAAAGCCAAATCAAAACTAAACAAATGCAAAAACCAGCAGGCAATAAGCAAGCAATCAGACAGATTTAAAGAGAAAGCCATACATTTTTAAAAGAAAAATAGCTTTAAAAATCACTGTTTACCTAATTTTCATTCATCACTGTTAGATTTTAAAAGGACAGGTATCAAGGCAGGTGATATCTAATAATTTTAAAATAAATTTCATTCACAGTGCTTCAAAAAGGCTTCAAACAAGACTGAATGAAAATGTATTTCCTTACCAAAATGTTTTCCCTTTTACCACACTGGTGAAAAGAACAGCTAAACATGCTTTTGAACACAGCCATCTCTCAAAATCCACAACAGATTTTTTTTTAAAAGGTAAGCATACTAGCTATCACACAGACTTAACATGCAAAGATCAAATTTTAGGCCTTGTAACCTTGGAAGTGTCCCTTTAAAGTCCAACATCTGATTTGCAGACCTGTGAGATTTTTTTCATATTTGTTTGAAATGATAAATCTAATTCAAGATTGAAGCAGTGCCAGTAGCTGTCTGCTTGCTGCAAACAATGAAAGCAATGTCTTATAAATATTATAATGCAGCAGCCAAATGTAAACAGACATTGAATTATTGCTGCAGAAGTGCATTTTAGCTATAATTTGTGTGTGAAAAGGAACAGTAAGATAGTGAATCTCAAGGCTTACGTTTCTCTTTTAGCCTTCTCCTATAAACTTCCTCTACGATGGTAAATGGTGAAAGTCAATAAAGTATGTAGAAAAAGCACAGATTAGATAAAAAATGCAACTTCATAAGAATATGCACTCAAGCATAATAAACAGACCTTGACATTATTATTCTTGTCTGTCTCAGAAGATGACCTTCAAGTTTGATGTCAGCTATATTTTCGTAAAGAAGATGTTACTATGACTGTGTACCATTCCATTCAAATATACCCTGACCACAATACTTTGCTTACACACTTTCTCATTGGAATCAAGGAGATGTTTACTGCAGACAAAAAAAACCTCCTGAGCTTTTGATTCTTTGATAAAATGGCTAAGATTTTTTTCCTCCAGGATATTTAAAATTCTTTGGACATCCCAAGGAAAAAAAAAATCATGTTCTCTTAACTGAAAACAATTTTTTTTCCATTAACTGTTAAAGTTTCATAACATTGTTAGGGAAAATATATTTTCTAGTAATACATGCAAATCTTGAACACCCAACATGCACAAGCTCTGCATTTGACTGAAACCAGCATCACAGACTCCATGTGACAGATTCTAATGTGTGTTAGAACATGGACTGAAAGAGCATTCACTCCAGCAAGTGATGTATAATAAATGGCGAGACTGTCTCCATTTCTGGTAGAGAAGACAGAGAGCTTGTTTATTCAAAGAAGCTCATGAGCAATAAGCCAAGGTATGAATTACCATGCAGTAAATACAAAAGGCAGACTGTAAGGCAGGGTGGCACCTCTACCCTTCTGCCTGATTTCCAACTAACTACCTCTGTCTATTCTATTGCCCAGCCTCCTAAGTGGTATTTTTGCATATCTGCACTGTGGACATATGTGACTACATGGCTCGTGTGCATACACAGTAGGCTGTGCACTGGTCAGTAGCTATGTGGCTATGTACGCTTGTACACTGGGCATAAGTCCTGGGAAAAAAAAAAGGAGGAGGACCCTCCCAAGTTTTAGCTCGAAAGCTGTGTGTTGATGGTACTCATGCTGGAAGTAGAGACCTGGGTTTTAGGTAACCCTCACACAGAGGGTGTTTGAACCTGTTTCCCTGACTTCCTGGCACAGTGCTTTGAAGTACCATACCAAAGATCAGGAATTAGCCAGTCCTTTCTTTGGCACTCCTTTAGAAGCTGAGCCATTGCAAACTGCGTATAGTAGTTTTAAGATAAAATGGATGGAAAACAGTGGGGAAGTTTCTCTTCCATTTGGAGCAATGGTTCCTGTATAACCCTGGGTTTGCTCCTTTCAGGAGCAGCATCTATCTCACTGAACCAACCTCTAGTTCATTCTCTTCCTTCTGGATCCACTTACCCCACACTCTTGACTGCTCAGGGGAGTGGGGACTGAGAGGGGCCTAAAACTCAGGTCTCCTGCTTCCTGAGTGAATGCCCTAAGCTCTCACCTACTGGGGCTAAAACAAAGGGAATCTCTCCTCCCTCTCATTGGGATTTTGTCTGGCTACAATTCTGTGACTTGCATACATAGCTGCAAATCTGCCAGTCCAGTACATAGTATACTGAGCATGCACAGCAGGAACATAAACACTTAAGTGTCCACACAACATGGATAACAGAGGGCAAACTGTGGATAAATGCTGAGAACATTACTTACATGGCTTGTTAACTGTTATTCAGGTACATAAAAAGTAACAGAATTTGGATTTAACTGTCAACACAGTGGATTAGCACAGGCTAGGTAGCGTGTTGTAAATTCACATCCCATTTTATTGTGCACTAATTTCATTGTGCAGTGATTCAGCAGATATCACTTGAGAGGGGTCAAGGCATTGAAAGGCTTCACAGGCCCACAGCATCATCTCTGCTACATCCCAATATTGATGAAAATGCTGTTGGGACAACCCTCTGGGGAATTTTGATGAGTTTGGCTGAGAATGGAAGGGCAGTGATTCACGGCATCACCTGTTCTGTGTGGCACTGTCTGATATTGATCACACAGATTTAAGACATACTGGACTGAGCGTGAGATGATCCAGAATGAGAGAGTTATGTTCTGGAAGGTTTGAATAGCTAAAGCGTACACATGGCTACTTCTATGAAGTGATAAAGAACATTTTAAAAGCAATTGGAAACAACCTTTCATAAAACTTTGAAGTACATTCTAAAAAACAATATTGTTATAGGGATTACATCAGATTAGATTAAAACAGAGCTCTCAATTAGAAGTTTCAGCGCTGTGCAGATACCTATTTTTTGTATTTAGTGTTTCAGTAGATCACCCTTCCCTGCACATTCCAGGAAAAAAAAATCCTAGTTGTACTGTTATGTGTCCTTGGACATGTCTACACGTTCATTAATGTGCCTTAGATACTGAGCACTTAGTTTAGTGTTTGCTTAATAAAGTGCTAACTAAATGCACGTAACTAGAGTTAATGCACAGTAGCATTGGTGCATGGTTATTTTGTGATGCTTACTGCACATTAGCCTAATAACACTGCGCAGTAGTCGATTAGCATGGTATTTAACCACCACGCTACTGCGCGGTGTTATTAGGCTAATGTGCAGTAAGCGTCTCATGTAGATGTGCTCCTTACGTTACTTTAAATACTGAGCAGTTGTAGCCCCACTGAACTAAACACAAACATTTCTATTTCAAGCTGTGATCCACTCCCCATTCCCTCTGCCCAATCTGTTTTTACCTCTTTCTGCAATCTCATTGTGTGCTGACGTCCTAGCAAGCTGACTCTGTAAACGTTCAATTTCCGCATCTTTGAGAGCCAGCTGCTCTTGAAGCTGGGCAATTTCAGCCTGTAAGCATGCAACAGAAATTCAGAATAGGAGTATTGCTGATCCTTTTCCTCCCACAAAACACTCACATCATTTCACTTTGAATGGTGCCCGGTCCCTGAAACAGAGTCATTTATAAGCATTACATATGCACAGAACCATAAGAATGCCACTAACACAAGGTAAAGCTCTTCCTTTTACAGGAACGCATTGGTTCTCAATAGAAATTAGCTCAAGGAAAGAATGCCTTGTGGTGATGGCATGATTTTAAGGATTCAGGACTGTATTATCTGGTCAGATATGACCAGGCTGTGTCCTTGTTAAGTAAACCAGGAACTGAGAGAGAGAATTTGTGGAAGCTGTTCACCCTACAGCATACATAAGGCTTTGACTAGTTTGGCAACATAGTGTGAAAAGGGAATTCTGAGGATTGTGAGGCAAGGCAACCCCAAAGCAATAGTTTATTTTCCCTAAGTTTTGGAAAGTTGCCCATATCTTTGACAAGTTTTCTGTTTTTCACCATAAATACAGATGACTATTTTGTTAATGTTAATTATAGTTTGGAAGAGATATAGCACTTACTATTTTAACATTTCTATTTCTATCACATTTAAAAAAAATCAACCAATAGAGTGACATTGTTATGAATTAAGAATCTAATAAGTTTGGCTTCTTTTCTCAAACACATGGTAAAATTATGTTCTCTTTCATATTCACATATTTTTTCTTGAAAATATAGCCGAAACAATGAGTAGTTTGAAAAAACAATTATCCACAGGAGTGAAAACACAGTAAATTGATCCAGACCATTATATTTCAAGCTGTCCATTTGGGTGGGTAATATCTCCAACATTGAAAGACATCGAAAATAAAAAGGGAAAGAACCACTGGGCTGCCAAGATGGTAACAGGGCAACTCCATTATTTCATTAGTCTGTCTAAAAGCAGCTGGCGGAACACACTTCATTATTTGAGAAAGAAGCTTCAAACTGTGTGCATTTTGCTCAGTGAAAATATACTATGCGTTAGTTATAACATTTCTAACAGACAGAGAATTATAGCATCTTGCATTATGAGTCTAATATATAACAAGGCTCTCAGCATATGAATAAAATCCCTTGATTTGGTGGTCAGGAAGGGAAGAGGTTTAGATTAAAAATGACAAGATATTTGACATGAAGGAAGCAGACAGCTGGATGGCAGCAAAGGTTCAGCACTTCTGCCTGCCATTCCTGATGGAATATAAGAATCTAGTTTAAAATATATCTCTGGAATGGCTACCATGCTTCCCAGTGACTAAACAGCTTTTAATAACTCAGACATGGATCTGTTCCAGTTTTTCATATAAGAAGTGGAGCAACAGGAAGACATAAGTGCAAACTTCCTAATATCAGATGTAGACTTCTCTCTTACACCTTATTCAATCTCAGTTTCTCCTGAACACTCAGCTTTCAGTTCTCACTTGAGTTCATGGTATTTTTATAGTTAATTTTCCTCTTCCTCTAGGCCTGCCCTGCATTTTGATTCTTTGCCATCCCCATATCCTTTCCCACTCATTTCTATCCAGTAGTGGTGGGAATTATTTTTCTGGCTGCCTAGCAGCTTAAGGATTTTGAAAGGAAAAAGTGGAGGGGTTGTGGGAGCAGAAGAAAGAGAAGATAAAAGGAGGGGAAAAAAAGAAGCTAGCTTATTATCTTCTTCTTTTCCTCCTGTTATAAATGGATATATCTATATCTATATCTATCTATAGATAGATATAGATATAGATATGTAGATTCAACAGACACTATTAAACATTCCGATGCAAGTTTATGTTTAATCTATATATATCTATCTATAGAAGGAGGAAAAAATAAGTTAGTAAGCTATTTTCTTCTGCTTCCCTCCTTTTATCTCCTCTTCCCTCTGCCCCCACAACCCTTCCCCTTTTGGTTCTTAAAATCCTTAAGCCCCTAGGCAGCCAAAAAAATAATTCCCACCACTTCACAGGACATTTATTGTCCAGGCAGATGAGAAGAGACCTATTTTTTTCATAGAAAATTGTAAATATAAATAATGTATAATGCTAAATATAAATAAGTTAATGTATTAATTCCTCTATATATACATTCACCCAACACAGACAGTATAAATAATTAATGAATTTGTGTTAACAAATGTTAATTAATGAGGTCAGTAATAAACATTATGTCTAAATTAAGCTACGATTAGTGCAAACTATATGTTTTTTAAATAATCTGAAATCGTTTTGCAGGTTCTGATCACACAAGAGGAAATTTACCCAAGCAATTAGTCCTATGAAGCTAAATGGGGAATATTAACATAAGAGGGTATTTGATTCCAGCTTGACAGGGAGAATATACTTAGTACTAAAAGACTCCTTAATCTGGCAATGTAAGGCTTAATGAGAACTGATGGCTGAAAATTAAAGCCAGATAAATCCAGATTAGAAATAAGATACAACTGTTTAAACAGAGACTATGGGTAACAACTGGAACAAACTACAAAGCAACAAGGTGGTTTCTGTACCTACAGATGTCATGAAGACTAAAAATCTAATCCAGATAATGAGATAAGAATCTCTAGTCCTCGTTTAGATCATATTTGGCTGAGCTGTGTTAGTCTGAAGTCAGGTAGAAGTTAGTCTGAATTCCAACTCACTTGGCTAGCTACCTGTCTCTGTTAATGGACAGCACCATGCCCAGCCAAATTAAACAGATCACAATTAGACCATATGTAACACAGTCCAGTCAGTGGATGAATTCTTATTTTGCAAATTCTCGTTCAAGTTCATTTCTTAAAATGTCATAGTTTCATAGTTGGTAGGGCGGAAGGGACCTGAGCAGATCATCAAGTCTGACCCCCTGCCATGGGCAGGAAAGAGTACTGGAGTCAAACGACCCCAGCAAAGTGTTAGTCTAGCCTCCTCTTAAAGACCCCCAGGGTAGGAGCCAGCACCATTTCTCTTGGAAGTTGGTTCCAGATCCTAGCCGCCCTGACTGTGAAGTAGCGCCTCCTGATGTCTAGTCTGAATCTACCCTCTGCCAGCTTGTGACCGTTATTTCTAGTCACTCCTGGGAGTGCTCGGGGGAACAGGGACTCCCCCAATGCCTGCTGGTCCCCTCTGACTAGTTTGTAAATGGCCACTAGATCCTCCCCCTCAGCCTTCTCTTGTGGAGGCTGAACAGGTTCAGGTCCCTCAGCCTCTCCTCGTAGGGCCTGCCCTGCTGCCCCCGGATCATGCGGGTGGCCCTCCTCTGGACCCTCTCAATGCTGTCCACATCTCTCCTGAAGTGCGGTGCCTAGAACTGGATGCAGTACTCCAACTGTGGCCTGACCAATGCCACATAGAGGGGGAGGATCACTTCCTTGGATCTGCTTGAGATGCATCTGTGGATGCATGACAAGGTGCAGTTGGCCTTCCTGACCGCGTCCCCACACTGTCGGCCTATGTTTATTTTGGCATTAGTAATGACTCCTTTTCTGCCTCTGCACTGACAAGAAGGGAGTTTCCCAGCCTGTAGGTATGCTGCTGGTTCTTCCTCCCCAGGTGCAGCACCTTGCACTTGTCAGTGTTGAAACCCGTCCTGTTCTCATCCACCCACCCCTGTAACCTGTCTAGGTTCGATTGCAGCCTATTTCTCCCTTCTAGCATGCCCACTTCTCCCCACATCATTGTGTCGTCTGCAAATTTGAACAGAGTGCTTTTTACCCCATTGTCCAAGTCACTGATGAAGATGTTGAACGTGCAGGCCCAAGGACCGAGCCCTGTGGGACCCCACTGCCCACATCCCACCAGTTCAAATAAGACCCGTCCACCACCAGTCTCTGGGTGCGGCTCTCCAGCCAGTTAGTGACCCATCTGACTGTGTAGGTGTCAATGCCACAGTGCCCTAGTATTTTAATGAGAATGGGGTGAGAGACAGTGCCAAAGGCCTTCCTAAAGTCCAGATAGACTACATCCACTGCTACACCTGCATCTAAGGATTTTGTGACCTGGTCATAGAAGGCCACCAGGTTGGTCTGACAGGACCTGCCTCTAATGAACCCATGTTGGTTGCCCCCAAGCATAACCTCCCCTACTGGCCCCTCACGGACATGTGCCAGGATAATTCTTTCAAAAAGCTTACCCAGGATCGAGGTAAGACTAACTGGCCTATAGTTTCCTGGGTCCTCCTTCCTCCCTTTTTTGAAAATGGGAACCACACTGGCCCTTTTCCAGTCCTCTGGCACCATGCCAGAGCACTATGAGTGCTCATAAAGTCGTGCCAGGGGTCCTGCAATGACCTCTGCCAATTCCCTCAGCACTCTGGGGTGGAGGTCGTCAGGACCAGCTGATTTAAATATGTCCAGTCCCTCCAGAAATTCCCTGACTAGGTCTTCACTGACCCTAGGCCTGGGTGTGCCTCCCCTGGGGCTTACGGGGTCCCGGTAGTGGGGGTGACCCAGTCCCTGCTCAGAAAAATGGAGGCAAATAAATTGTTGCATAGGCTAGCTTTGTCGTCTGGTGCAACGACCAGATTTCCTAGTGTGTCTTGCAGAGGTGCCATGTTGCCCGGTACCTTTTTTTTACCCCCTATGTATTTAAAAAAGAACTTCTTGTTGTCCTTGATCCGGGTAGCTAGTTCCAGTTCCATCTCCACCTTGGCCTTCCTGACCGCCCCCCTGCAGCCCCGAGCAACCGAGGTATTGTCCTCCCTGGTGATGGCCCCTCCCTTCCATTGGGTGTACACCTCCTTTTAGCTAGTCTAAGAACAGCTACCCTGAGGTCACCAATGGAATATCTAGGGAGGTTAAGGTGTTCTGCCATAGACCTGCATGTGTTTCCAAAATTGATGTCAGACTGATGTTCATTCATTCTGACATGTAGAGATTGCCCTGCCTGTCCAATGTAGAAAGCAGAGGGGCATTGTAAGGCTGATGGTGTATATGAAGCAGGGAGAGGTGCAGATGAATGAACCACTGATATTATTATCTGTGTTATTTGGTCCAGTGATGATGTGGTCTGTGTTATGAGGGGCCACAGCTTGAATTTGGGGCTATTGTAAGGTCTGGTGACTTGGTGGGAATAGGAGGTAGCTTGCTGATCGAGAGATGATGTTTGCAGTTTGGGGGTTGTATGTAAGCAATGACACCCTTGTTCCCCATGGCTATCTTGAGACAGTTATCCTTTCCAGGTGGGGTTGGAGGTCATTAATGATGTGTCCAAGCTCAGGGCTGTAAGTGATGACTAGATAGATTATGTTGTTCTTTTGGGATTGGGACTGTAGCAGGTTGGAACAAAGTCTGTGTCTGGAATTACATGGCCACAGCTTTGGTATTTTATTGTAATTGTGGGAATTCCTGCTCCAGATCCTCAAGATGTGTATCCCAGTTGGTGAGATCAGAATAGACTTGGCTGTAACAGAGCATGGCTTAGATGATGGATCTAGTGGTGCGATTAGGGTGATGTGTTGGTGTGAAGGTAGCTGTGGCAGTCAGTTGTTTTCCAATACAATGTGGTGGTGGTATAGCCATTGCAAACCTTCACTGTGGTGGCTAGGAAATGAATTTGCTTGGTAGAGTATTCCAAAGTGTGTTTGATGGCGGGGTGGAAGATTGGATGCCTTTCTGGAAGATATGCTTTTGTCACAAGTTACTGCAGCTCAATAAAAGAAAGAAAGTGGGTGAAATTCTTTAATATACAAGAGGTCAGACTAGGTGAACTAATAGTCTTTTCTGATCTTAAAAACTATTAATGCTGTTCATGGGGTAAGGAAACACTATTAAGCAGCACCGTATTTTTCCTTCCCAATGGAACATTTCCCCACATTGAGGTAACTGTGACAGTCAGGCTAAAGAGTTTTCTCTGTAGTGACTTGTAACAGATATGGAGACAGTAAAATAGAAAAGCTTGAAATAAACACCTGCTGCCCCAAAACAATTCCTTTGTTATACAATATGCTAGTTTTTAAAAACAGAAAAGAACAACAGACTGCAGGAAAGAGATTTCCACAAAGTATGATTTGAAAGGCAAACTGTATATTGGATGGGTTTGTTCAAGTAAAAACTCACTTTATGCAGTTATCACTGAAATATAGCAAATGCAAGAAAAGTAAGTACAGGGAGAAATGGTAAACATCTGCTTCCAGGTAAAATAACTCACTATTAAATGCCAAATTCACTGCTTACTTTGGTCGCTTTTAATTTCCATTCATATTGGGTTCTTTCATTTTCCAGCTCTTCCACTTTTCCTTTGAGATGTTTGAGTTCCTGTAGCAGGCTCTGCAAAAATAAAATATAGACCAGCTAAATGCAAAGACTCAGACAAGTGTTAGTTCTCTGAAGGACACTCCAGCAAATACAGGACCATCCATGCACAGCAAACTTTTCCTTGTTATTTTTGCATCACAGGTTAAGCGGTGAAATCTACTGTGATTTGCCCTCATTATTGCTAGGAATGTTTTCTTATTGACTGACTAAATACACTTCAATGACAGTGTTCAAGGGCCCCACTGATATCCATGCAGTATTGTACCGAGAGTTGTTTTGGGGGGTTCTTAAAAATATCTAGGAGACTGAAGTTCTGACCAAAAGACTCCTAACTTCCATAAAAGAAAAAAAACCCTTTGAGACAGATATATTAAAGTATTTAAATAACAAAAAATACAAAACAAACAGGGAAATATTCAGCTAAGATATTACAGGTATATAACTCCATAGACATATGCAACACTTTAAAGACACATAAGACTATGTTCCAACCATGAGTAGTCTGTGAAGGAGATAAAGGAATAGTGAATGGAAAGTTCCATGGTAACTGATGTAGATGCAGACATGCATAAAATATAAATACATTTGCATAGAAATGTTTAATAGTGTCATCAACTACACTGCCTCTGCAGGTGCTCAGAGCTTTCGTAAGAAGCTACAGAGTAAACATTGACCATCATGTTAGTTTTCAAGACTATATCTGAGGCCATAGTAGGTAGGAGTGAACCTGATAAGTGTTAGATTCGTTTCACTCTGCCGTACTTTGGGGAAGGCCCTTTGTCCATCTGGCCATTGTGAAGTGTGAGCTCCCTGGCACAGGGGATGCATGTATGCAGCACTGAGCACAAACTAGAGCTATGTTTCAAAAGAAATACAAAAAATTTTGGTGAGGAACAGAAAGAGTAACAGTATCTGTAGAGCTGATGGAGGGAAAGAGCAACAGCAATGCTCTTTATGAGCCTTTAGGATGAGAGAAAAATGATACAGGCTTAGGGCACTCATCAGGGATTCTGGAGATCCCTGATGGTTCAATTTTCTCTTCTGATACAGACTTTTTATGAGGCCTTGGGCAAGTCACTTACCCCCTCCATGGCTCAGTTCCCATCTGTAAAGGGCAGATGGTTTTTCCCCATATCACATGGGGATTGTAAGATTAATCACATTCATTCAAGTCTCCCCACTTTTGATTGGTAGGTTTACCCACTTGGGCTGTGTCCACATGATCATGCACATGCATTTTCTGGTGCCTCAAAGGTTTTTGAGGTGATGCAAAATGCACCCCATGCATGTGATTTGGTTCTCTGTGCTGCATATTTTCAGTGTTGAGCCAAATTTAGATACCAGGAAATCCCAGTATCAAAAAGAGAGCATGGAAAAAAGTGGGGCAGCGTACATGTAGCAGCATATGCCACCTCAAACTGGAACCTGGCTGGCCAGAGCCAGGCTCCAGCTGCTGACCAGGCTCTGCAAACCTGGATCACAGCCACTGGAGCCCCAGGAGGTCCCCAGGACCCCAAGTTAGGCTGATGGGGCCAGCCCAGGTGCTGGCCTCAGTCTCCCCTAACTCACCCAGAGCATTTTTCCCACCTGGCCACTGCTTTTTTTGCTGCAGCACCCACGTGCCCCTGCTCATGGGGATATGGCCTAAGAGTCTAATAAAATCTCTAGGTCCTTTGTATGAGTGGATAAAGACCATGAATGTGTGGAATGGGGAGAGGAAAGGACAAGGACATGAGGAAGAAAAACATGGAATTTGGAGGAAAGATCTACAAGGGAAGAAAAAGAAACCGTGTGAAAGGAGGCAGAGAACGAAATGAAGGGAAAGAAAGTTTCAAAGGAGAGGAGGGATGAAGGAGGAAGATTTAGACTGGGGCAGTCAACCTGTGGTATGAGTGCCACAAGTGGGACATGCAGACTCTTCATGTAGCATGCAGCAGATCAAGGATGGAACAGGCTGTAGACAGGGCTGGAAGCACAAAGCAAAGCACAAGATGATGCAGAAAGCACAAGGCAGGGAGCAGAAAGCAGAGCAGGAGTTCAAACAGGGAGCACAGAGTAGGGAGCAAAAAGAAGAGCAGCAGCTGGAAGAGGAAGGGTATCACAGCTTGGGGAGGTTGTGGTGTTAATTTGTGGCAGGCCAGCCAAAAAGATTGGCTCCCACTGAGCTGGATAATGCAGGAAATCTAGGAAAAGATCCATTATTCATAGATTCATAGATGTTAGTGTCGGAAGGGACCTCGATAGATCATTGAGTCCGACCCCCTGCATAGGCAGGAAAGAGTGCTGGGTTCAGAAGACCCCAGCTAGATGCTTATCCAACCTCCTCTTGAAGACCCCCAGGGTAGGGGAGAGCACC